GAGTTGTTGACAGTGTGAGCGCGCGAGACATCACACCCTCTCGCAGAGGTTACAGACAATGAGAATTTTAGAGGCGCGGTGTACTCCGAACCGCAGACAAGTTAGAGAGGAGAGGGTTGTCTCGGCATGTGACTATTGATCGCACCCTACACTGCATGCGATGACTGCACGTGTTTTGACTTCGCATGCGATGACGAATCGTGATGAAATACCGTATGCTCGGTATCACAGCGTTCACAGCTGTAGCAATCTCTACTGTTTACATACATGTTTCCTCTTCTTTTCATGCCCTTACCTACAATCCAGGTTCACACCAAACATTTCCTTGCTACCTCCTTGCCATTTTGCATAATTGATATGAAATCTGAGAATTGCAACTCTCCATAGAATCGTCATCAGAACTCTGTGAAATGTTGATGAAACTCACTATCCGAAGAGCAACTGAACAGCAAAAAATTGCATTGTTTGCAGGCTTTCGTGGCTGAGCAGTTTTTGGATTGAAAAATATTGTTTTCCCCCACAATTTCCACGAAAAACGGTAAAAACTTCGATTTCGACAAAAATTTGGCCACAGAAAATGCCTTTGCTCCCGGAATGAAGACCCAGCATGGAAGCTGTGGTCTCGCTGGTTGAGCTCCGGAGGGCTCTCCCTGTGGTTGGCCAGTATTTAGAAAACGAAAAAGTTTTGTTTTCCCCCACAATTTCCACGAAAAACGGTAAAAACCTCAATTTCGACAGAAATTTGGCCACAGAAAATGCCTTTGCTCCCGGAATGAAGACCCAGCATGGAAGCTGTGGTCTCGCTGGTTGAGCTCCGGAGGGCTCTCCCTGTGGCTGGCCAGTTTTTAGAACGAAAAAGTTTTGTTTTCCCCCACAATTTCCACGAAAAACGGTAAAAACCTCGATTTCGACAGAAATCTGTCCAAAGAAAATGCCTTTGCTCCCGGAATGAAGACCCAGCATGGAAGCTGTGGTCTCGCTGGTTGAGCTCCGGAGGGTTCTCTGTATGGCTGGCCAATTTTTAGAACGAAAAATTTTGGTTTCCCCCAACAACTTCCACGAAAAACGGTAAAAACCTCGATTTCGACAGAAATCTGTCCAAAGAAAATGCCTTTGCTCCCGGAATGAAGACCCAGCATGGAAGCTGTGGTCTCGCTGGTTGAGCTCCGGAGGGCTCTCCCTGTGGTTGGCCAGTTTTTAGAACGAAAAAGTTTTGTTTTCCCCCACAATTTCCACGAAAAACGGTAAAAACCTCGATTTCGACAGAAATTTGGCCACAGAAAATGCCTTTGCTCCCGGAATGAAGACCCAGCATGGAAGCTGTGGTCTCGCTGGTTGAGCTCCGGAGGGCTCTCTCTATGGCTGGCCAGTTTTTAAAACGAAAAAGTTTTGTTTTCCCCCACATTTTCCACGAAAAACGCTAAAATCTCGATTTCGACAGAAATTTGGCCACAGAAAATGCCTTTGCTCCCGGAATGAAGACTCAGCATGGAAGCTGTGGTCTCGCTGGTTGAGCTCCGGAGGGCTCTCTCTATGGCTGGCCAGTTTTTAGAACGAAAAACTTCAAAAATTTTGGTTTCCCCCACAACTTCCACGAAAAACGGTAAAAAAATCGATTTCGACAGAAATTTGGCCACAGAAAATGCCTCTGCTCCCGGAATGAAGACCCAGCATGGAAGCTGTGGTCTCGCTGGTTGAGCTCCGGAGGGCTCTCCCTGTGGCTGGCCAGTTTTTAGAACGAAAAAGTTTTGTTTTCCCCCACAATTTCCACGAAAAACGGTAAAAACCTCGATTTCGACAGAAATTTGGCCACAGGAAATGCCTTTGCTCCCGGAATGAAGACCCAGCATGGAAGCTATGGTCTCGCTGGTTGAGCTCCGGAGGGCTCTCTCTATGGCTGGCCAGTTTTTAAAACGAAAAAGTTTTGTTTTCCCCCACAATTTCCACGAAAAACGGTAAAATCTCGATTTCGACAGAAATTTGGCCACAGAAAATGCCTTTGCTCCCGGAATGAAGACCCAGCATGGAAGCTGTGGTCTCGCTGGTTGAGCTCCGGAGGATTCTCTGTATGGCTGGCCAGTTTTTAGAACGAAAAATTTTGGTTTCCCCCAACAACTTCCACGAAAAACGGTAAAAAACCTCGATTTCGACAGAAATTTGGCCACAGAAAATGCCTTTGCTCCCGGAATGAAGACCCAGCATGGAAGCTGTGGTCTCGCTGGTTGAGATCCGGAGGGCTCTCTCTATGGCTGGCCAGTTTTTAAAACGAAAAAGTTTTGTTTTCCCCTACAACTTCCACGAAAAACGGTAAAAAAATCGATTTCGACAGAAATTTGGCCACAGAAAATGCCTTTGCTCCCGGAATGAAGACCCAGCATGGAAGCTGTGGTCTCGCTGGTTGAGCTCCGGAGGGTTCTCTGTATGGCTGGCCAGTTTTTAGAACGAAAAATTTTGTTTTCCCACACAATTTCCACGAAAAACGGTAAAAACCTCGAGTTCGACAGAAATCTGTCTACAGAAAATGCCTTTGCTCCCGGAATGAAGACCCAGCATGGAAGCTGTGGTCTCGTTGGTTGAGATCCGGAGGGCTCTCTCTATGGCTGGCCAGTTTTTAAAACGAAAAAGTTTTGTTTTCCCCTACAACTTCCACGAAAAACGGTAAAAAAATCGATTTCGACAGAAATTTGGCCACAGAAAATGCCTTTGCTCCCGGAATGAAGACCCAGCATGGAAGCTGTGGTCTCGCTGGTTGAGCTCCGGAGGGTTCCCTGTATGGCTGGCCAGTTTTTAGAACGAAAAATTTTGTTTTCCCCCACAATTTCCACGAGAAACGGTAAAAAAATCGATTTCGACAGAAATTTGGCCACAGAAAATGCCTTTGCTCCCGGAATGAAGACCCAGCATGGAAGCTGTGGTCTCGCTGGTTGAGCTCCGGAGGGCTCTCTCTATTGCTGGCCAGTTTTTAGAACGAAAAATTTTGTTTTCCCACACAATTTCCACGAAAAACGGTAAAAACCTCGACTACAGAAAATGCCTTTGCTCCCGGAATGAAGACCCAGCATGGAAGCTGTGGTCTCGCTGGTTGAGCTCCGGAGGGCTGTGGCTGGCCAGTTTTTAGAACGAAAAATTTTGTTTTCCCCCACAATTTCCACGAGAAACGGTAAAAAAATCGATTTCGACAGAAATTTGGCCACAGAAAATGCCTTTGCTCCCGGAATGAAGACCCAGCCTGGAAGCTGTGGTCTCGCTGGTTGAGCTCCGGAGGGCTGTGGCTGGACAGTTTTTAGAACGAAAAAGTTTTGTTTTCCCCCACAATTTCCACGAAAAACGGTAAAAAAATCGATTTCGACAGAAATCTGTCCACAGAAAATGCCTTTGCTCCCGGAATGAAGACCCAACATGGAAACTGTGGTCTCGCTGGTTGAGCTCCGGAGGGCTGTGGCTGGACAGTTTTTAGAACGAAAAAGTTTTGTTTTCCCCCACAATTTCCACGAAAAACGGTAAAAAAATCGATTTCGACAGAAATCTGTCCACAGAAAATGCCTTTGCTCCCGGAATGAAGACCCAACATGGAAGCTGTGGTCTCGCTGGTTGAGCTCCGGAGGGCTCTCTCTATGGCTGGCCAGTTTTTAGAACGAAAAGTTTTGTTTTCCCCCACAATCTTCATACAAATCACTGAAAAGCTCGATTTCCACGAAATTTATGCCACATTGCCCACGGCCTTCAACCACCTCAACTTTTGCTTTCAAACCCTGGGACCCGCTGTCAGCTTTTCCCCTACTGTTCGCTTTTCAACGGCCAATCATCTTTGGAGTCCTTTATTTTGCCCTTGCTCCCGAAGTGAAGACCCAGCATGCGTTTGCATTGGTCAGTTTTCTAGGGGAGCGATTATGTTGATTTAGCCAAGCAACAGAAAAAGCAAGCTGAATCAAATAACTAAATTCTGGTGGTGGCATTTGGGAGAAAAGATTAGATATTTTTGTGTCTACCCGCGAAGCTTGATTTTTTATTTATTTAGCTTCCTAGAGAGGCGATTTGAACACCGTTTATAGTTAGATGCAGTCCCAATTAAGCAAATACTAATGTATCTGCCCCGACCCACTTACAGCGGCCCGTAGGGCCGCTAGTCTTATATATAAAGCTGAATGTCAGTTTGTCTGTATGTCTGTATGTCTGTATGTGTGTACGTATGTTCCGAATAGAAAATTCCATTTCTGAACCGATCCGGACCAAACTTGGCACACATACACTTCGGGCCCCGGCGGGTGTCATAGGCTACTTTTCGTCATCGATCGATATCGATTTTATCGATTTTTATCGATTTTTTTGCTGAGTTCACCTACGGGGCTGGGAGTTGGCACAGGGAGGTAATCGAGCATGCTGATTACGAATATAATAATGACAGGGCCGGGCGGAACCGGGTAAGTCAACTAGTTTTATCATAAAGCTTTTTAGCATCCACAAACTGTCCTAAAACCTTCACCTTTTTTCATCAGTATCACCCGCACTAGCAATTTTCATTTACAATGAAAACCATTTGCTGCCTCCAAACCAGATCAATCTACAGCGAAATGTATTTCACTATAAATGATGCAAAAGGGAATTTCCCCATCTCTAATTCACTACAGTGATTACTACCAAAACACAACTGTTTTACAGATGCAAATGACCTGGAATATTCTCAAAGATTCGCAATTCTTCGTTTTGTTTTCACTGAACAAAGAACTGTGAAAATTTTTGAAGCGGTGAGTAAGGATCTTGTATTGTTTGTCGGTGTATATAAATGGGTCATTGCATACTAACACCAATTCCTCTTCTTTTCTCTCCTACGATAAGAGCAGAGGAAAAGTGTCGGCCTCCTAGGAAATCCTCAATCTTGCTTTGCAAGAAATCTACTTTACAAAATTCTAGAATTTGAGAAAGACATGTATTTCTTATATTATATTCTACCCTTCTATATCTAATTGCAGAAGCCTATAAACACAGCAAAGCGGTTTGCAATGCTTCGTGCACTACTGGTAATTTTCTTACAAATTAAGTGAAAACGCCCTTGTGAAAAATGTTTTTTTTAGCTCTGTTCAATTGCAGTCCAAGGAGCGATAGCAGGTGAGTACTGACTTAAGAAGTATCCATACATAAATCTTTCGTGAAAATATGGGGCTCAACTTTTTTTTCATTCTAGCCACATGCAAACTTCCCGCTGCACTAATTGAAGCAGCTACGACGGCTCATAATGACCTCCGAGCAAAAGTCGCTACACGTGCCTTGGATAAGGAGGTTTACGGAGACCTGCCAGGAACAAAGAGCCTTTTCAAACTGGTGAGTTAAGTCTGTTAACATTCATGATTACTAGTGAAATTGGGACCAGATAAGTGACAAACCTTCCACTTTCCTTCTATTTTTGAGAGCAGTCTTATTCGAAGTAGTTCTGGAACCTTCGCCAACAGGCTCTTCTGAAATTTTATTGACTTTATAAGAGTTTACAGGAGTATGATTGTACTAATGAAGGATTTGCACAGTCAATCATTGGAAAAGATTGCAAACACTCATCGATCTATATGAGCGTGATAGGAAGAGGAGAAAACTTTATAACGTAAGCATGCTTTGGTCCACTTATGATTATTGGTCAAGAAAAACATCAAGGTTTTACGAATCACTTGGTACTTTTCAGATACAGAGCAGAAAGTAAGCCTGGTAACAAAAAGGTTGCTGAGATGCTTAAGTGGGCCGTCGAAGATTGGAGTGACACTGTCGAAAGTCCTTTAAGCTCGGACGTCATGTACACAGATACGTCTATAGAACCTTTTGCTAATGTACGTCTCTATAATCATTTTACTACTGAATCAAACGGAAAGCAAGGACATTTTGATCTGTGAGACAAGCTTAACTTCCAGATGATCTACAACAAGACGATGAAGTTCGGGTGCTCCTACCAATTCTGTGAGACCAACGGCAAAGTTGCTATCGCTTGTGTATACGAGAACAAGTAAGCTGACAAACGTAGCCCTACCTAGCGCTTGCTCAAAGGCAAGTAACCACGTTTAACTAGCAGCGGAAGGGATTTGTGTAATTCATGATCTGGCTAACACTAATGTTTTTATCTGTATGCGCAGTTCCCAGTCACTTCTGTTAAAGGCGTTGAGCGTTGCATTAAGCAGATATCTAATTTTCTAAACCTTACATTAGACTTCCTTAGTTATTCTGTTGATAAAATCTATTATCTATAATAACTAACGCACCTATTTGTCTTCATCCACACAAACTTTTCTAGACCGCAGCTGAATGAGCCACTGTATTCGGCAGACTCGACGGGCAAGAAAGGATGTACTAAGAATAGTCCATGTAACAAAGTCATCAAAGGCGCTGTTTGTGAAACAGCTAATGACGCCGTTGGCCCTCTTTGCCAGAAAGAACCTTCCAGTAAGAGTTTTTTCATACTGCTCGAAAACTTCATATTGCACAAATGTTTACGCTTCCCATTTAGCCACAACAGCCGCTCCAACAACAGCAACGGAACAATCAAGTAAGTGCAGAGCAATGAGCTTTGGGTACTGATATCGCAAAAGCTCTAGAAATGATAATTAATGTGTGTCAATCTAAGGTACATGGGGATGACGGCATCAAATAATAGACCGAGGTATCAAATCCTGCATGCGTGTAGGAGTGAAGCAGATGTCATAATTAACATTAGCTTGAAAATTCTTGCTATATTTTATCGATCTAGTAATTTGTTTGCATTCTTCGCATTGGAGGAATAGGTTGGAAGACGAATATAGGACAGCTGAGTCTAATATCATTAATTTCGCTTTCTGCTTGAGGAGTCCAGACGCACACTGGGCTAAGCTTGATTATATAGCAAACATCTTATAGAGAGGAACAGTTTTGGCTAAGTCCATTCATAGGGCTAAACATGGCTGTCAGATAGAAGTTTCGCTAGCCTTATGATAAAGCACCGTAGTCGTCTCTGCCTACGGCAGTGCTGGGGCTAGGTCATACATGATGTATTTGATTCCAGTTATCATCTGGACTTGGATACCATACTACTGAGGTCCCTTCATGAAGCAGCAATAGTGAGCCAGATTTATCCTCCAATCAATCCTTAGAGAATCTAGAATCATATAATATCAAACTCTATTTTCAGAGTCATCAAAGAAAATCCAACTAATTAGTCGTTCCGATCCGCATCATATCTAATTTGAAATATGAGTGCATTCTCTAATAAAAATTTGCAGCAACTTGTTGCATTGGTGATTCATACAACAGCCGCGTCTTTGTCTAAGTCCAAGCAAACAACTGGACCAATCATTATTTTTTGACAGATGTTGGGAGCGTTCAGTTGGCTTTAGCTATCACTTTAGCCCTTTCATTACCTTGCTTATCAAGTGTTACAGTGGTGCGCTTGGGCGTTATAGTGTGGACCCCGGCCAGGTTCTCATATGTACCTCCGCGCCGCGAACGCAACGCGCGTCGGGCTGCCTTCTAGGCGCCCTCATGTTTTCGTGTCCTTTCGAATTTCTAAGCTTCTTTCTTCTTCTTTCTCCGTTCTTCGTGCTTGTACTGTGTATTTCAGGCAGGAAATGACAGATAATCGCTGCAACATGCCCTATTATCTGTTATCCAGCATGTTTGAGGGAGCTGAACCAGGTAAGACTCGGTCTGCCGGTTGCTGCAGCCAACTTCTCTCTTGAATTTTCCTTCTAGGTTAGCCCAAGTCCTCCCCAATGACTCGCCGAGGTCTTGCAATCAAGTGAGATAAGCGAAAAGAACTCCTTATATGACCCCATCTGGATTCAAAATGTTTGATTACGTGTGGCTGGTTGGTGAAACACGGAGTGTCCTTCATAGGAATAGGAATTCGAGACCGTACTCGCATACATTGTCTGAACAAGCACCTCTTGTTTTTTGTCTCCATATTTCAAATAATTGTAGAAGAAAAGATCACAAATGTGACGGTACAGATACACGATAAATTTGCTAAACACGAGTTCAAGTTGTTTAGACAACGTATGCGGCCCGGCGAGTCCTCGGGCAGGACTTGGGCTAACCTAGAAGGAACATTCAAGACAAGGGTCCCGCTGCAGCAACCGGCAGACCGAGTCTTGCCTGGTTTAGCTCCTCAGACATGTTGGATAACAGGGAAGACGGCGTGTTGCAGCGGTTATCTGCCATTTCTTGCCTGAAATACAGAGTAGAAGCACAAAGAACGGAGAAGAAAGAAGAAAAAAGCTTAGAAATTCGAAAGGACACGAAAACATGAGGGCGCCTAGAAGGCAGCCCGACGCGCGTTGCGTGCGCGGCGCGGAGGTACATATGAGAACCTGGCCGGGGTCCACACTATAGATGGTGCGCCTTCACCTGAGCGAATAACTGGGTGAATCTCACTGAGTAACAAATGCCTACAAAACGGCAGTTCCCAAACTCTTCTTACACTTTTCAAAATTTCGGCACGTATCAGCGCAGCTTGAAGAGCCTGTGCTATAGCCTGCAGGTTACTGTCATATTCTTCGGTAAGTGGAGACAAAACTGTGTGAGCGGAAGGGGAAAGATGCTGAGATCGCATTTTCGGTCAACACTTTTGACATATGGTGTACTTTCACAATCCCCTTTTGCGTCTTTTAACACTCTTTCGCTTGCTTCGGAAATCTACGCTTCTATATAATCTACGCTCTCCTAAAGGCTGTCATTACTGACAAGGAAAGCCAACCTATTTGCTGTTATATTTCCAAAAAAGGCATATGCAACTCAAATTAATTTAGTACGCTGATAACAATTGTGCTATTCCAACTGCGGAGCATTATTCTGAGCAATCACGACCTTTATTTGCTAAATGGCTTATACTCAACATGGAAAGATCGCATGTAGAAAGAAGTTTGCCCGAAAGTGCTGAAACAACATCAGAACGGTGTTTTGTCAAACGAGAAATTAACGCAATTTATTAGCCCTGAGATGAGGTACCGTGGCCAGTAAGCCGATGAGCATGCAAATTTCGCACACAAACAATTCATTAACTCGCTCCAGAATAATCATTAGCTCAATAGCCGCAGCTAGGAACAGCATAGGCCCCGGTCAGACTTCACGCGACTTAATCGGCGCGATCTAATCGCCAAGATTTCCATTCATTTTCATTTCACATTCAAAAATATCGGGCTGGAAAAGTATCACAACCGAATGCAAGTTGATCGGCATGGAATGATGTTGTAACAGTTGTCTCGTCGCGATTCAGTCGCGACGATCAAATCGCGTGAAGTCTGCCCGGGGCCATACTCGAAATCAGCATTTCAATCTGCTTACAAACATAATATGCCTTTTTTCGAAAGGCCTGTCTAACAAGGGAATGGTCAGAAGTCAAAGTAGCCAATGCATACAAGTTGCATACCATTAGATGCAAAATAAAACGCTGACTCTAAATCTGTCTTCCTTATCCGCAGAGCGTTTTTGTGGACGAAATTATAAGCTTGAAGGCCATTATTGCTAAGAAATTGTGCGTGTAAAGTGCAAACTTGGCCGTACAAAGCCATTCTCGGCTCAGCGTTGGACCAAAACATGCAACTAGATCAGTTCATATGACCCGTACCTAGAGGTGAGCTGAAAGAGCAACTGTGTCTAATTTCGCAGTTTTTGTATACGGTTATTTCGCATTGAAGCTGCTCATAACCTCGCCTACAAAGGCGCTCTGCAAATATGGAAGGCAAATTCGAAATCAGCATTTTATGTTGCATCGAATGGTATGCAGCTTGTGTGGATTGGCCACTTCGACTTCGGACCATTTTCTGGTAAGTAAGCGTCTTTCATTGCAAACTGGTGCGGGGGGCGCAATGAAAAACATTTTTATTGCCATTCACTGCATCGAGCGTCCCTCTGCTCGCCACCACTTGCAGCAGATGAATTACATTCAAGCCCACCTCAAGATTCTATTCTAGCGGTAGTCTTTGAGATCCGTACAAGTTCCTTGCACGTGTAGAGGGGCTCTCTCTGCAAAGGTACAAAGGTTTTCCTCTTTAATCACTCGTGATTTTATGGAAGCGTCTCCATGTGACTGTCACAAGCGACTTCGTTCATCTTGTGGCGCGAAAGAGATCTTTCTGACCTCTCGACTAAGTCGTACTTTTGTTTGAAGATGTGATGTGCATCATTGCAGAACCTATAACTACTGAAGCAATGCATCAATTTCGGCACTCGAACATTCTCGAACCCACGAATTCTCTTCCTGCCCTATCTGTGAGCAAAAGGCCCGCTTTTCAGATCCATTCCAATGGATTTACTAAAAGGAGATTCTGAGACGAAGTTTTGTCAAAAACCAATGCGCGCATTTTGAAATTTTCTTCGAGCAGAATAAATTTTTTCATAAGCCAAAGGTGGATATCCCGAAAGTAATCTACAATGTCCTATGCCAAAATTTCTTAACTGTCAGATGAAAACAAAAGCTTTCAATTTCATTGAGTTCTAGCAAAGTTTCATGTGGACCACCCTGTATGGCTGTGTACGTATTATACTTGGGGAAATTCGAAATTTTTTTCGAATATTCGAACATCGAATATATTAGGAAATTGAAAATTTCGAACATTCGAATATCGAATATATTCGAAAATTGAGATTTTCGAATGTTCGACTATCGCATATTATTCGACGAGAATTTCGAATATTCGACTATCGAATATTATTCGAAATTGGAAGTCTTTGATCGAATAATATTCGAATATCGAATATCATTCGTTATTCGAGTTTCGAATATTACTCGGTCCTCGAATGTTATTCAATTTTCGAATATCATTCGATTTTTGAACACTATTCAAATAGTTTATGTTAGTGAGATTGCCTATGGAGAGGCCAAAACATCTAAGAATAAGTTGTTTCATGTAAGTATCAAAAATAGACACTTTTTTATGTTACAATTTGCGATGAAAAAACGTTTTAATGGTGGCGTGAAGAGAGTTAAAAACCTAAAACCGTACTCCTGTGACGGTTGTGAAGAGATTTTTGGAACTTCAGAGAATTTATAATTTCATTGAGAGTTATGGATTGATAACGGGACGCCTCAAAAGTATATAGACAATATTTGATCGTTATTTCTTCCCACATCTTTTGCCGAACTTAGTTGCTTTCTGTAGTTCTGCTTCAACTTAGATAAGCATGAAGCAATACACCATCGCACTTCACTGCTGTAAGATTACCTTGGATAGATTGAAGAGGATTCTGGGACTACGGGACTACGGGGGCCGTATTTTGTTTACGAAAGGAACCCAAAAAACCAAAAGCGCATTTAGGCTATTCAAAATTACTGAGAATACAAAATTTGCACCGTAATGCTTTGTAAGTTATGCCAGATACGGCGTAACAAATATTTCAGTGTTTCTCAAACTGTGACTGCACATCAAAAAAGCTCGAAAAATTTGTGAAAAATTGTGTAGTGAAACCAGCTTATGTAAAAAATTGCTGTAAAAGGTGTAAAAAAAGCTAAACACTTTCTAGATTTTTTAGGAAGTTCTTTTAAGCGGCTGATTCCACATTGGCTCTAGTGCTGCAGGTTCTTACCTTAATACCGCAATGACAGCTAAGAGGACTAAGAGAGTTCCAAGTTTTTCTTGTAGATGTAAGCCGGGCTCTACGGAATGGCACCCCGATTGGCAAAAGTCATTGAAAAAGCTATCAGCGATCAAAAAGTGCGTAGACACCTTTGAAACACTCCGTATATGCTATGGATATCGAATTTTCGAATATTCGATGCTCATCGATTATTCGAATATTCGATGAACATCGAATAATCGAATTGATGACCGTCGAATATTCGACTTTCGAATAAAATTCGAAAGTTGAGATTTTCGAATATTCGACTTTCGAATAATATTCGAAAGTTAATATTTTCGAATATTCGAATATCGAATATATTAAACTGAAAATTTCGAATATTCGACTTTCGAATTTTATTCGAAATCTCAGATTTTCGAATATTCGACTTTTCGAATCATTCGCATTCGAATGATTTATTCGAATGATCGAATAATCATTCGATTCGGTCCCAAGTATAGTACGTATGTTCCGAATAGAAAATTCCATTTCTGAACCGATCCGGACCAAACTTGGCACACATACACTTCGGGGCGGGGCGGGTGTCATAGGCTACTTTTCGTCATCGTTCAATATCGATTTTATCGAATTTTTTGCAGAGTTCATCTGAGGGGCTGGGAGTTTGCACACGGTGGTAATCGAGCATGCTGATTACGAATACAATATTAGTTCTTGGAAGCATCCGCTACTTACCGATTTTATCGATATTTTGCAAAGTTTGAGCTTCGGGGCAGGGAGCTGGCACAAGGGGGGGGGGCAATCAAGCATGCTGATTACAAATACATTATTAGTTTTTGGAATCCCATTGCCCATTTTATTGATTTCATCGATTTTTTGTAAATTTTGAGCTACGGGCCTGAGAATTCGCACAGGAATAAATGGGCATGCTGATAACTAACACAGCGGAGATAGGGAGTTGGTTGGTAGAAGTGAACACAGGGAAAGGCTGTGCAGGGATAAGGATGGGAGTTTTATCAAAGTGTTTTGACAGGGCCGGGCGGAGCCGGGTGAGCCAGCTACTCAGATAATCACCGGGGCCAGCTCAGACAATCGCCGGGGGCAGGCGGGCACCGGAAAAATATATTGCTGATTTCTCGCACCCCGCTCGCGGATTTTTTGGAAAGCAATCAGGACTTTTCGGAAGACCGCTTGCTGAGTTCTCGATTCCTCAGAGATTCAGCAATATATTTGCAAAAGATAAGAGCGGAAAAAAATTCAACAGGCGGTCTCTCAAAAAGCCGCCGACTCAGCAAGCGGTCTCCCGAAAAGTCCTGATTGCTTTCCAAAAAATCCGCGAGCGGGGTGCGAGAAATCAGCAATCTATTTTCCGGTGCCCGCCTGCCCCCGGCGATTGTCTGAGAGGCGGTCCGCAAACTCGCGCTTTTCTGCAGGCGGTCAGCAGAATTTTGGGGCGTGGCCAAACCTTCAGCGGGCGGCACTTCCTCTGCGGTCACATATTCTGCCAGCGGGCAGCAATACAGCATTTTTTGCAAGCACTCGGCAAATAAATTCTTTCAGCGAGCGCTGGCCAAACTTTCAGCAAGCGCTCGGACTCTTTTTACGCATTTTCGGGCGTACGTCGAACACAGGTAAGACTCTGTGTGGCAGAGGTGTCAGTGATTGTTTAATTACTCAAGTTTGAGGTACTTTCTCTCAGCGGAAAGTACCTGGGGGCTGCGCGGTCCTCCACAAAGGACCGTGCGGCCCCCGAAAATTCTGCATATTCTCGCGAAAAGTCCGCGAGAATGCGGCCACTGCGCCGCAGCTAATCTATAAGGAAACCGTGATTGTTCTCCAAGCATTCGTCTAAAATTTCGCTAAAATTATTCCAAATTTCTGCAAGCGGACCGCAAGAAATCAGCAAACTATTTTTCCGGTGCGCGCTTGCTCAAAATTCGCATGGCCGCCTACCCCCGGCGATTATCTGAGTAGTAACCAATATACGGCAACATGATTTTAACAACAATGGACACAAGTATGATATAGGAGATCGAATTGCGACAGCAGGAAGGAAAAAGCGGGGAAGATGGATAGCGTAATGCTTGGAGAACAATCACGGTTTCCTTCTCAGACAATCGCCGGGGGCAGGCGGTCCGCAAACTCGCGTTTTTCCGCAGGCGCTCAGCAGAATTTTGGGGCGTGGCCAAACCTTCAGCGGGCGGTACTTCCTTTACTGGCTAATGTTCTGCCAGCGGGCAGCAACACAGAATTTTCTGCAGGCGCTCGTCAAATAATCTCTTTCAGCGAGCGCTGGTCAAATTTTCAGCTGGCGCTCGGACGGTTTTTAAGCAGTTTCGGGTGTACGCCGAGCAAAGGTGAGACTCTACGCGGCAGAGGAGTCATCGATGGTTTAATTACTCAAGTTTGGGGTACTTTCTCTCAGCGGAAAGTACCTGGGGGCTGTGCGGTCCTTCAAAAAGGACCGTGCGGCTCCCAATAATTTTGCATGTTCTCGCGGAATGTCCGCGAGAATGCGGCCACTGTGCCGCAACTTATACTCAGATAATCGCCGGGGGCAGGCGGTCCGCAAACTCGCGCTTTTCTGCAAGCGGTCAGCAGAATTTTGGGGCGTGGCCAAACCTTCAGCGAGCGGTACTTCCTTTGCTGTCTAATATTCTGCCAGCGGGCAGCAACACCGAATTTTCTGCAGGCGCTCGTCAAATAATCTCTTTCAGCGGGCGCTTGTCAAATTTTCAGCTGGCGCTTGGACGGTTTTTAAGCAGTTTCGGGCGTACGCCGAGCAAAGATGAGACTCCACATGGCAGAGGTGTCATCGATGGTTTAATTACTCAAGTTTGAGGTACTTTCTCTCAGCGGATGGTACCTGGGGGCTGCGCGGTCCTCCACAAAGGACCGTGCGGCCCCCAAAATTTTTGCATATTCTCGCGGAAAGTCCGCGAGAATGCGGCCACTGCGCCGCAACTAATCTATAAAGAAACCGCGATTGTTCTCCAAGCATTCGTCTAAAATTTCGCTAAAATTCTTCCAAATACCTGCAAGCGGATCGCAATAAATCAGCGAACTATTTTTCCGGTGCCCGCCCGCCCATAAATCGCATGGCCGCCTGCCCCCGGCGATTATCTGAGTATATAGAAAAAGCGCGATAGATCTTCGAGCGTTCGTCTAAAAATTGGCCAAAATTATTCCAAATTTCTGCAAGCGGGCCACAAAAAATCAGCGAACTATTTTTCCGGTGCCCGCTCGCTCAAAATTCGCATGGCCGCTTGCCCCGGGCGATTATCTGAGTACTCAGACAATCGCCGGGGGCAGGCGGGCACCGGAAAAATAGATTGCTGATTTCTCGCACCCCGCTCGCGGATTTTTTGGAAAGCAATCAGGACTTTTCGGAAGACCGCTTGCTGAGTTCTCGATTTCTCAGAGGTTCAGCAATATATCTGCAAAAGATAAGAGCGAAAAAAATTCAACAGGCGGTCTCTCAAAAATCCGCTGACTCAGCAAGCGGTCTTCCGAAAAGTCCTGATTGCTTTGCAAAAAATCCGCGAGCGGGGTGCGAGAAATCAGCAATCTATTTTTCCGGTGCCCGCCTGCCCCCAGCGATTGTCTGAGTAGCTGCGGTAGGCGTTTGCACATACAAGGGAAGGATGACTGGTCGAAGTGGCCTTTTTGAATGAGCTGTATACTAGCTCAGACAGTCGAAGGGATACCTCCGGCGGGCAAATGGAGAGAGTCTGCCACTTCGCGCTCTGGAGCGCTCCGGAACCCTGCCATTTCACGCATTTTGCTGCTCCGGAGCTCTCCCAAAACTGGCGCACCTCCGGAGCAGAGATTTGCGCGTCCCGGGGAGGGTCCCATTCGCCTGCTTGTGACGTCACCGTGACGTACGGTGAACGATGAACGGTGAACGTCACTTTTCCTCCGGCGCAGCCGGCGCACTCACTAATGAGAGAGGCGCTAAAGTAGTGCAGCGCCCTGGGGGTAGCGCAGTGGCAAGATAGCGGACTGTGAAGCAAATGGTCGAACGTTCGGGTCCTGTCGTTGGTGTTTTGCTTTGCAGTTCTGTAAAAAGTCTATTGCGTGACAGTAGACGAGAAAAATTCATTGCTACGCAGCTGAAACAAGCTATTCACCGCAAATCTTATATATAAAGCTGAATGTGTGTCTGTCTGTCTGTATGTCTGTCTGTCTGTCTGTACGTATGTGCGGAATAGAAATTTTTATTTTTGAACCGATCGGGACCAAACTTGGCACACATATACTTCGGGGCAGGGAGCGTGTCATAGGCTACTTTTCGTTATCGATCGATATCGATTTTATCGATTTTTTGCAAAATTTGAGCTAGGGGGCTGGGATTTTGCACAGGGGGGTAATCGAACATGCTGATCACCCCCGTAGCTCAAAATTTGCAAAAAATCGGTGAAATCGACATCGATCGATAACGAAAAGTGGACTATGACACGCTCCCTGCCCCGAAGTGTATGTGTGCAAAGTTTGGCCCCGGGCAGAGCCGGGTTTGCCATCTAGTAGTCGCTATTTCTACAATCAGCTAATCTACAATATGTAAATCTGTTGGGATTTTGATGTTACAACAATGGATTTCAATGATATATCAACACTTATGGAATACAATCACAAATGTTCAAAGCCGAAGAGCTTCTTGCAGCCCTTTCCTTGTTAGAATAGTAAGAATTTGATGATTTTGCCCTTCTATGACAAAAGTGGCCAGCGGCGGTTACGGGCTACTGTCGGCTACTGCGGTCTGCTACGGGCTACTAAGGGCTGCTAGTGGCGGCTGCCGACACGGTACGAAGCAATCGCGGAGTGGACGCCACACTAAATTCACGCGGCTCATGCGCAACCATCCTCAGGACCCGTCATACTTCGCCGAGAAAAGCCCAAAAGCGCCCAAAAATGTCCAAAAGCGCCTAAAAAAACCGAAAAAAACCTAGAAAAACCCGAAAAAGCCCGAAAGCGCCAGAAAGAGCCGGAACGCAGAAACGAACTTTTGATAGGATTTTGATATTATTTTAATGTACAGACGAGAAAATGGACCAAAGGGACCCGGCTGCAATCAACATAGATGCCTTAGAGCCAAAACTTGCGAGGGGCGTTCCGGCTCTTTCTGGCGCTTTTGGACTTTTTCGAGCTTTTCTAGGCTTTTTCGGGCTTTCGGACTTTTTTGGGCTTTCTCGGGCTTTTTTGGGCACTTTTGGGCTTTTTTCGGCGAGGTATGACGGGTCCCTCAGAGTTACACGAACGCAGGAATACAAGTGCTTGGAAGAAACTCTTGTAGTTTTCCGCATCTTATCAAGTATGACCTTTGCAATCTGGTTTATTTCTTACAATGTGATACTCTGAGTTCAAAAGAGAGTGGTTGCCGCAAAGTTCAACTCAGGTGTTTTTCTCGGTCTTTGCTGCGCGAGAAGTGCTGTTTAATGTTTACTAAGAGCTCGATGGACAGTCAGAGTTCTGTCGCTACTTTACTTCGACTACTAGACACCTTACGACTATAAACTTCTAATGCTGCTGTTAACAGGAATTCGCAATTACCGGCTGAAAATCGAAAACAGCGGCAAGCATGCGGCGTGTGGACGAGATGTCCGCGCCTTGCCATCGTGCGGCGTTTTATCAAAATGCGCTTTTGAAGGTTTTCATTGCCATTCTAAGTTTTCGCTTTTAAATGCTAGTAAATTGCTTTTATATCGATTTTTTAAGTCAAACCATGAAGTCGGTGTCATTGTTGGCCACTGTTTCGCGAAACTACTTGCGACCACTTGCTCCTGGACGCTGTAATATTCGAGCCGCTCAATTTCGACCAGCAACCACACATTTTGGAAACGAACAGGTTGAAGAAGCTGAAAAAGAAAAGCGTGGTATGTTTAACATCTTATTTGAACAAACTGGTTTTCGCTTATTTTTGCAACGCTCATCTTTTTGTTATCAAGTATTGATTGCAATGTGCTGTGACTGAAAAAATTCTATTTCAAGTCCATCACGTGTTTGCTAATGTTGCCAATAAGTATGACATGATGAATGACGCCATGAGTCTCGGGATTCATCGGCTATGGAAGGACTACTACGTCAGTGGTTTGCCGATAGGACCCACTACAAAGGTGTTCGTAACGTTCTTGTCTACAATTAGAACATCTCAAAATCCTTCTTTGTTTCTCAGCATCGATTACACTCTTTTTGATAGTATTAAGTTATATTCCCAGGTTTTTAAAGTGAAGGTTAGTGAACAGGATACAGTTAGTTTTTCAAACGTACATATCTATCTAATTCGCACTCCCTCGTTCATTGCTGTCATTTTTCTGTGGGAGAAGATGATAGAAGGCAATGTTTGCTGCGCGGCATCAGATTGTGGGAGCAGTGCCGGTCCCAAGATCTCCGTCGGGGGCACTCCGAAAAAATTTTCGGGGTTCTTTCCAAGATTTAGCGGGCCCATAACCTCTAAAATTTTGGAATAGGGGGCGTGGAAAAAATTTTTTACAAGGCTGTTTTGAATTTTTCAAAAATTATAGAAATTATATTATTATCTAAAGAATAAACAAGTCACTTGCACATTTTACAGCTTATGTAGGAAATTTTCAAAAGTTTCGCGACCTATTCTTGAGGGAGGACGGGGGGGGGGGGGTCGGCGCCCGAGAATTAGTCGCGATGTTTTTGAAATTGTCTGCCGTCCTCTCCCCTTGGACCGCCAATGACATAGGGAACGGCCATAGATTGTCCATGTTGTCGGTGTTGTCGATGATGTCGGTGTTGTCGATGTTGTCGGAGTTGTCGGGGTCAGATACAGTTTAGAGAGCGCGCGGAACGTGGAGGCTATCATGAGGTCCTTCAACGACCGGCAACCTCGGCAAACCCGACAACCCCGACAACACCGACAACACCGACAACCTATGGTTGTTCCCTTAGAGATAACGAACACCAAAGCCTTGCATGACACCGTCCTGTCATGGGTTGCTCTTGTTATTGGGTAGCATCTGCGGCTATATAGTGACCATTCTACATAGTGACTCAAAAGGTTGCCAGGTGTAGAATGCAGTTTGATCGGTGCCTGTGAAAAGACTCATACTTCACTACTTCAAGAACAGGCTTGACAAATTTTGATCCTATTTTTTAAGTGGCTAATGTGGCTTCGGATTTCTCCTTTCACGCTTGGGTGTTGAAGATTTTTCGCAATATTTAGATCGTCGATGTCGCTGGAGGTACGGGCGACATCGCTTTTCGCTTACAAAGACGTCTTGGTACTGGAGGGAAAGTGACTATCGTGGATATAAACCAGAACATGCTTGACGTTGGACAAGAACGAGCGCGAAAAGAGAGAAATGTGGGATATAGTCCTTTTTGATGTCTTCATTGTAAAAAGGTGGTTTGAGGTCGTCACTTCAAAGCTGGAATGGGTTTGCGCAAATGCAGAGAAACTACCATTTGACGACAACTCGTTCGATCTCTACACCATATCATTCGGTATTCGAAATTGCACCCATGTTGATCAGGTTATTTTTATTCCTCATTGCAAGTTACCTTGCACTTCCTTTTCACGGAATGGGTTCACAAATCCTTTCAATCCATTTTTTCTTTCAGGTAGTTGCTGAAGCTTTTCGAGTGTTGAAGCCCGGTGGCCATCTTGCCGTGTTGGAGTTCAGTGCTATCAATCCTATACTTCGCCCGTTATATGATGCATACTCTTTCAATGTCATTCCAGTCATGGGAAAGGTATCTGCTCTGATGACTACGTTGTATGTTGTGCCCGATCTGATTGCGATAACCATCGGGCTGCCCTTTCCTGTTTTTTTTTTGTTCTTTCTGCGCTTGATAGATAGTTAAGTACTTCCGAGCATCTGTCTCGTAGACTGCCCTTGATTTTGTTTCGAACCTTCCAGGACCTTCCTAGAGTTATTCAATCCTTTGCCCCATTGTAAACAAGTCTTGGCCCCCAGTATTGCGTTCTAAACCTTACTGAACTGGAAAATCATGAATTTGCGCTTGTTTAGGTATTGGCTGGGGATTACGATAGCTACAAATACCTTGTTGAAAGTATTCGCAAGTTTCCATGTCAGGTGAGATTCGGTTCTCAGCTTTGCTCTGTCCTATAGCACTGAATATGTTTTACAGGAAGACTTCGCAGCAATGATACGACTCGCAGGCTTCGATATGGTCTCTTATGAGAACCTCTCTTGTGGCATTTGCGCAATACATAAGGGAATGAAACCACTGAAAGCGGCCAAACAAGCTCAGTAGCTCTTGTGTTTGCTATGGTACAAATTGGTAAATCTCATCTACTTACCTTCGCAGTCTGCCTTACTTCCCGTTAATTTTTGAAGTTGTTAAATGCAATACAGTTCGCTTGTTATAGTTACCGGGTTCCATTGGGTTGTTCTTGAATCGCTTCGGAGTTGTTATGTATGTGATAGCATAAATAAATCCATTTATTCTCTTCCTCTGTGCTTTTCAACTGTTCTTACATGCAATAACTTTCGGATTACTGTTGTCAACCACTATTTTATGCTATGCTGATTAGTGTGTTGCAGCTTTATGGCGGCGGCTCCTCCGGTCAGGATACTGTTTGCAATCCCACGGCGGATGCTGTCGCTGTCCTCAAATCGGCATGTTAGGTAACTGCGCATATTCTCATTGCATGTGTTTCGACTGGAGCCTTTCTGTTTCCCTAACCACGAGTAACGAGTTTCTTTTTTGTGTATAATATGCTGCCGTGTTATCACTTTTGAGATGCAGCTCTTTTCTAGTCTGTGCTGTCATTAACACCATATTTTCAATAGTTTTCACAAAACCTTCGTTAGTACATTCAAAGCAGAGGCTTGCTTAGTGCTTATCCAGTTTAGATTTTGTAGGGTAGTAACCCTTGCATGCTGCTTCTTAGTTTGATAGGAACTCGCATTATTACAGGTTCCGTTCCAGCAATCCCGCACATTCTATTAAAGCCATTGGAAGGTTTGTGGATCCAATTGAGAACGACGTTATGTATGATCCGGGACAGGTAAATCTCTGTTTCATCATTTTTTTCTGCTTCAAGTGCATGTGCGTGCTTTAGTGCGATTTCAAAAAGAGTTCACTCGCCTAGTTGTGTATCTTTTCTATTTATTGTATGGTGCCATATTATGAAAAATCATCTGCTCGTTTTATCGGCAAACTGATGGTGTTCAAGTAACTGCTGATTTTAGCTCTTCATCCACAAAACTTTTGCTTACAAAGGGGTAGTTGTGTGCGCCTTCAAATGCAGATTTCAAGAGAAGAAAAACAATTCTAGGTACCTTGTAAACTTGAACAGTTTTTATACGACCTTCAATAAAGCTCTTTCAGTGACCGATCTGTATCACAAGGTAGATACTACCAGGTGCTTATTGATAGGGGCGATTGGGGTCATATGGGATTCCCCGTCGATTTAACTTCGTATTTGATGGACGGCACTACTCGTGGTGAGAAGCTTCTCACATTGATCAAGTAAGTAACTTTATGACAACTTCTCTCTTTGTTCACTGTGTGTCTTGTTACAGTGGGATGGACTGTGTATCACACTATGATATCCTTCCATTCACCACTTCTGAACGAGACCCACTAGATCATGACCTGTTTCACAGGATATTTGACGTTACCGACGAAGGTATGGTTTAGTTTCTTTTTTACCTACTATCTTCTTTTTCTTTGTTTTCTTTGTCGTGACTTTGTGATTGTAATTACTTTGGAATCCAAAAGACTATATAGTCCATACGACATCAGTTACGACTACTGTTCTTCTCTCTACAAATTTTGCTGCGCGGACTTTATCACTGTGCTTGGTTTTGTTGGTATATGGTGATTATATCGTTTCAGGTAAAGAATTCAAGATAACCATGAAGGCAAATCTTTTCGAAAACTACATGGCCTCGCAAAGGTCCTGGCTTGCACCAAGAGATGTATACCGGTCAGTCCTTTCGTTGTTTTATCCTATTATGTTTTACAAATGTTTATAGGGAAGTGACAGAAAATATTGAAGTGACTGTGACTACCTTCTATCTTGGCAGCAGCATGGTTAATGGACAATTGAGGCATATGTGGCGATATGTAATCAGGCAAGAATTTCGATTTTTTGCGTGCTAGTTGTTTATGAAGTAAATTTAGGCTTGAAAATCGCACACCGCAAGATGCCGTCATACTGAGGGAACGTTCACTGAAAGTGTATTCGCTCAATAATATGAATCAAGCACATGGACATGGTGTGATTGGCAAGGTAACTATACGCATACAATTCTTTCCTGTTCTCATAAGGCTACCGTATGTAAGCTCTTTTTAAAGGCAGCGTCCTGGCAAATCTGGACCTATGGAGATTTTACGTGGGAAGTAATTTTGGGATCCTAACTAAGGCACCCAAACGGCAGCACAGGTGACTGGGGCACGGTCAGGAGGTACGATCGGCGCGAATTTTTCGCGAAGCGACGCCGCAACGTAATTCAGCTTTTACAACAGCAGCGCTTCTGGAGCGGTCTTACTTACAGCATTAAATCATGTATCTGTCCCCATCCTCACCCCCTGTTTTTGCCGCCGGGAATCTCTATTGGCGGAGAGTCATGGAGCCCCAAGATTCGAACGCGGCGTGTGCGGAAGAGCGGCCGCCGCGCGCGGCGTACCTCCTGACGTGCAGCCCAGGTGACTCACTAACGGCTGAGGTATACGCCCCCCAAACTGGACCCCAGGATCGTATTTCGTATAGATTCATGGCGCAACCCATCAGTTTCGCGCAGGACCCACGCGAAACTGATGGGTTGCGCCATGAATCCATTTTCGAGGGGAATACTCAGCCGTTAGAGCACTACCCGAGCTGCCTGTTGGGCAGTGGCTTAGTTAGAGCCCCAAAAATTACTATCCACGTGAGATCCCCATAAGTCCAGATTTGCCTGGACGCTCTTTGAATCATATTTTTCCGGTTGGTATACTCATTAGTTTCTCATAATCAGTTCGGTCACTGATTGAGAGAAAGCATATCATCAAATGAGTTTTTTCCTGATAATCCCTCGTACTCAATAGGCTTCCCTAAATTTTCTTTAGTGAGCTTCGTTGCATTGTCTGCCTGTCTTCCTCTGTTGTAGTCATGAATGAGAATAGCATTTTTAGCAACCGGAACTAAACACCCAAAGTCCAGCCTTTCAATTTAGCAGCACTGTTGAGCTGGCTCACTCCAAAGGCGGGCACATGTGGTGAGTTTTCGTTTTTGCAATAACTATAGCTTTCGATACATTCCCTTTTCTATGAATTAGCTTCTCAGTTATGCAGTTTTGAAGAGCGTTTCGATTCGCAACCTTTTCATAACAAAGAATGACAAATTGATTCTTCTTTGATCTTGCTTATTGGTATAGCTTATGCATTTGGAGCGTAGTTTATTTGAGCACGCACAATGTCTTGTGAAACAGCGTTATGAAGTAACGCGCTGCCTCCAAAGTTCCTGTAGTACATCTTCAAAGGACACAGGCGTATCGCACCAAAAATGCTCCTAGCCGGCTTTCACTGACTATTGCGCACCTTGAACTAAGATTCTATAATGTTTTTCCAATAACAAAATAGTGCATTGGCTGGTAGTGAGCCAGCTTTTCACATAACTTTGAATCTGTATGTTTCCCTTTCTTAGTTTTTTGTTCTCTAATGTCCCAAGAAAAATTGAACGAACTTCTAAGTTTTCGTAATTTGTGTAGAGAGAATGGAATTCGTACGTAAGAGGGAAGTTGACCAGAGAATGGGTGGCTAGAGTACTTCAGAATCTCGAGTAGTCGATTGTTTCTTTCGAAAATCTTTTTGCATAACTCGAATTATCTATTGAAATCTGGTTCACCTCATCGTAAATTATAAAATGTCATAACAAATAGGACTATTTTTATAGGGGTCGCTTCAGAATGGAACGAGAAAATGGCCAGACGTTTGACGTTGCTATACCGACAGTGGTGCTTGAGTCTTTTGATGAGAAAAGCACAGGAAACATGGAGAAAACTGCGGAATGACTGGAAGATTCCTACAGATTTTTTTTACTTAGTCCATAGATTGCTACGTAGAAACTCACTGGTAGATAAGCTTGAGGGACAAAATAAATGCATTGCTGGAAGACAACATTCTTTTGCTCTGTATTTAGACGGGTTTAGACAGCTGTAGGCAATTGTTCTGTGAGTCAAAGGTCCTTCGTATAATTTATTCTAAACTTTCTTAGATCTGCGCTGTTTGTAAACTTGTCCCTCTTTTCGAAGAGTTCGTCAAAAGAGCTTAGGATAAATTATATTATGTTATCATTACCATGTGCATTTTAGTGAATGCAATCGAAAATGCTTTTGTTATGAAAGAAAAGATTAAATGTCTCGATTATCTCTTGGACAATAAAGTTGTTTAGACCTGCGTTGTTAAAATCTTTTAAATTTTGCCTATAGGGGACCAAGGTTTCTGTTTCTTATTCTTTAAGCTGCATTTTTTTAATGTGGTTCCCTTTCCTGCTCTGGTTATGGTTTTCATTTCAGTTTGAAAAGTTTTTTTTTGTAAAAATCATGATTGATTTTTCACATTTTGATCGAACATGAACTTACTGTGTTCGCAGCGTTCATGTTTGAGTAAAAAAGGGTTTTTGGATCTCCCCTGTAAATTCCTTGATACATGCTCCCTCTGATAACGTGATACTTCATTCATCACACTCACTGAGTATTGCAATCATTACTCATTGATCAATAGCATTCCTTGGAAATAGAGAAACACTATCTTTTTTATAATCTTTTGTTACTGCTTCCTATTTGATAAGATTGATTCGCAAAATCAAAGACAGCTCGTCAATTTTTTTTGGTTTGTTATATAGAAGATGTCATATTACAGGGTTCTGAAGATGTGTTATGTGAGTTTTTTTTCGAGTTTTTACATATTTAATAGGAGATCACATCCTCATCATCTAAGTTTTATTTTCATGTGCATGGAAGGGGTGGTGTGAATTTGATCTTCTTTGCGTTTTGAAACTTCATTTGCGTTTTTCACATGCTTGATGTAACTTTTACTGGCTTTTCTTTTTAATTTTCTACATCTCACTGTAATGTTCATTCTGCCAAATAAGAGACACTTCTTTCAATTCTCAGTTGACATTCATCCTATAAGCTGATGGTCCTCAAAAACAAAAACAAATTTCATTTTTGAACAAAGGTCCACAGTCGATTACTGAATGTATCTTTTTTCACAGGAGCCAACATTTCTCGATTTCTGCAGCTAATCAAGTAAAGGGTCGAATTGTTTGACTTCCTCATTTTTTACGTGAAATTCTTCGGAATATGCCAATTTCTTTAATTCATGCTCTGTGTTCAATGAAAGCTCATAAAGTTTTGTGTTGCCTTTCCCATGAACTTACTTCTTCCTTTTTTTTCTGCGTGCTTTGTTTTTCTATAATCTTGTCGAAGTTAAAGCACAGCTCCTTGAACGTCAAAATAATCACGCAACGGCTTTGAAGTGTTCTAATCTTGAAGAAGTGTCGTCTTAAGAGGGCTTAGCGCAGTCTCTCTATATGGGCTTTCCACGGCACATTTCGCCCATGCTGAAGCTTCCGTTCATGCCTGTTTCTGCTACTGACATTGTTTTTACGCACTATGTGCAATGATCAATTTGTCTGGACGTGCCTCACATGTTTTTTCTTCATTCTTTAGGTCCCTGCTAAAGTTTTTTCTTTGTCACAACAGCCACGTAATGCTCAAACATCTATAGATCGACTGGCGATATCATTAGTGCAGTATTTACTACTCCATTTCTTCTGCTTCCTGGTCAACATATTTGTTCCATGGGTAGTATTGATTCTTCTAATGCAAACATTTTTTGTCTCTTTCTGCTGGGTTTTGCGTCCTGAGGGTTTCAATCTAGGGTTTTTCAAAGTATTGGATGTTTTTCGTACTGCAAAGATACCTTATGAGAACTTTTTTCACACCCTGCATTCTTCTCTAGAATAGATCGCGATATTTTTGCGACTAGATGTTAGAATTTCCCTTGCAACTTGTTTTACCTGTGAACGATTTGGAAAATATGTAGATAGCTCATTTGAATATTCAGACTAATTCTGAAATGATTTTTTTTCTTGAGCCAATCTTAGGAAAGACCTGAGCGGCGCCTCTCCAAGAAAAATTTTCTGTCGCCCTTATCTGTAACAATCTAGACCCTAATATAGGCTTGAAACATATGAAGGGCATCCGTTATTAGGAAGTCCTGGTTGCGCTGAGATTTGGAATTTGCTTTATAGAGGGAGGCTTTCAAATGGTGAGCACAAGTTTTATCATAGTGATCGAAAATTAATGAGGCACTTTGTTCCAACTACAGTAGAATTTTTTTCTAGAATCTTATCTCTTGGAATCTGGACTGTATGCTTGCTGCGCAGTTCACTATAGCCTTTTTGGGTATGCTTGTCTTATTCTAAGCGATTTTCCCAGCGGAATAAAAATTTTTGATGATTACTATCCAGGGAGACCTATCGTTTTTATGCAGCTTTCTGTTATAGATCCGAAAATTGCATTTTGCTTTATATGCACTATCCTTTGATACAGGTAATAGTTACATTCTTGTGTCGTTCGTTGATTTTCTGCTAGTAATCATTTCCAAATTCCCGCCAATGACAAATTTGTATATCACGAATATTCAACACGAACACGTGTATTCACAACATCCACCCCGCATGAAAAGTGTCATGTATTCGTTTTGTTTGCTCAAGAAAGACATCCATTGTTGAACGACACTTTGCGCATAACTCAGGCCGCATCTGTGTTAAAAACATTTTGTTGAATGCTCTCTAATTCCTATGGTAAGTGACATTGGGAATATGAAGATTAAAAACTTCTCTCAGTATGAACTTATTTTCTCCGAGGGCGGTAGTTTACAAATTGCTTAATTGCAGGATCAGCTCGATTTACGCACTTCAGCCTAAATTCAGGGAAAATGTGAGGTTGATTGACCTTGACCCACTATGACTGCTATCATATCTTCCACTACATAACCCTATATCTGCCAATTCTTTTCTAATCATTTTCTCTACCGCTGTTATCAGTGGGGAAGTTTTTATGTTCTCAAAGTTCTTGTCAGACAAATCTAACCCGAGTTGTAAAATAATCTCTGATGAAGTTGCCAAAAGTACAAATCTTCTCAGAGCTTCTTGCTGATAATCACATCACAGAAGATGCCTGTGGATTGAATTTTTGGGATCAAGCCTGCATTCTGCATTGTCATCTGTGATGAAAGCTACCATAGTTTTTTTTTTGAGAAATTAAGGCATCTAGAATTTACCATTTCACTTTCATCCTCCGCCTCCAGCTGCTAACAGACACTTTCGTACTTATCAAGTCAAACATTTTCTGGCTTCCCTAGCGTCACGAGCATTTTTGTAGCTCTCACCACATTGTATGGTGGGTTTTCGTCGGACCTCCATACTTCCATATCATCACATGAATCTCAGTAGCCTTTATTGTAGTGCATGATTTTTATATGTCATCGTTGAAGATTCAACAAAGACTCACACCGTTGCGAGCATTTTCAACCTGCATTCGTTTAGCCATGGCTGATGCACCCGTAGACATCAGTGGTAATTTTGCAATTCATAACAATTGTTCTGGTAAATTTCTTTGATTAAGGATGGCGAAAGAAATATTTGAATGAAGAAGAACCAGAAGTGCTCGAGGAAAATTTACCGACAAACGATCCGCATAAGCTTTTTGATATTTGGTAAGGAAATTTGGTTCTTGGATGTGTACTGCAAACTGCAATGCAAAAAAATCTGTCCGAGTACAGCTTACTTATTTAATAGATTTATGAAGTTACCTACTTTTTTAGGGTGAAAATTTGCACTTTCTGATCAATTCGCTTCAAAATATTTCGTAGGCGCCGGACTTATCCGCTTTGCCGCTTTGTGATTAGTCCATTCTGTAATTTGACCAATCATGAAACTGCTAAGCGGCTAATCGGTCAAGTCTGGTGCTTGCCTTACTGTGACGAGATGGAATGATGCAACACCATACAAGTCATGCTTTTGTTTAAGGTTCAAGAAAATAGCAGAACAGAAGGACACAACATTCGAAGAACTGAATTGCTGTGCTTTTTCTACTGTAGGAAAGTGAGTTGCAATAATAAATGCGATTTTTTCTTCGCTCTAAATAGTAGACCTAATTATTTTCAGAAACAATCGACCATCATCGAGAATCGTCTTGTTAAAGTCCTATAAGCCACCTGGATTTTCATTTTTTACAAATTATGATAGTAGAAAGGGAAAAGAGCTTGAAGCGAATCCCTACGCTTGTATGCTGTTCTATTGGGCTCGCCAAGTCAGACAGGTAATCAACTTCCTCTTTAACGCTGGGATGGCCCTCAAGTGCTCAAGGAAGTACTCAATCCCATGGCAATAAATTAACCAAACATCATCTTCATGCACATTTCTTTCCATGTCCTTATTTTTCGATCTCTGTCAGCTATAAGTTTTCGAGAAAATCTCAACGTCTGTTTGGAAGGAGGTGTTTGTGATTTCCACTACTTCACCTCCTATCTTTTTTGGAAATTAGTATCATGGACTACACCCCAAACGCTTCTTATCAGTTTTTTTCTTATTTCTTGCTGCCTTTTTTATGAGATAGGATTCATATAAAATTTTTGTTTAGGTGCGCATAGAAGGTAAAGTCGAAAAGTTGCCAGAACAGGATGCTATCGACTACTGGAATTCTCGACCGCTATCAAGTCGAATAGGCTCGAAGAGTAGTGAGCAGAGCAGTGTGATTCCTAATAGACAAGTACGTGGTTGGTTCGTATGGATTGAGTCATGGCTAGTTACTAAAAAAGCGTAAAGTCTTAGATTTAGTTAAATTCCAACAACCCTTCATTTCCTTGAAATGTTTTGTCATATTATCTGAGAGGGTACTAAAATCAGAATTTTTTTGCCTGAAGACCTGAAATTTCAAATTCTCCGCTGGAAATGAATAAAAATGATTTTGAATAGCAAAAAGTTACAACCAAAAAATTTGTTTGAGTCATAAGTTTGAGTATTTTTTCTCCGGTATAATTTGTACTTTTGAACTTCCCAGAGCTTTCTTTTTGCAGCGCACGTGTTCATCTTTCCTATGAATCATTCTGAAAGTTTAATCACCGACTTTTTTGCAGGCGATAAGCATTTGTTTTTTTGTGTGCTGCTCGTTGCCTCAAGCACTTCACGTTCCTCATTGAATACAGGTTCAGGAAAATCTGAGCACTTGATTTCTTCAAAATGTCTGATAGGGGACTGCCATTGCCCTAACTTCAGCCAACGAATTTGTGACGAAGCAATTCAACGCTAAACTCAATTTCGAGTACCTAACATTGCCTGGACACTACCTTTACCGCTGTGCGTCCTAAGGTAACGCAACGTAGCCGCGAGAAAAGACCGTTACTTTTTTTATGGGACATTGCCTTCGCCCTATATATTTTACTTGAGTGTTTAAGAAAAACCGGGGTTAAAAATTGTTTTTTGAAGACTGAGCCGACTCAGCATATTCCTCAGTTTTAGATTCAATCAAACTGTTTATTTTTCAGTTCCTCAAGGACAAACGAAAAGCACTGCAAGAATTGGCGGAAAGAGAAGGTGAAAAAGCTATCACCAAGCCTGACACATGGTAAGCTTTACTTCTGTCTCTTAAACTGCTGAGTGGCACATGTCAGCGCCGTACCAGCGTCGTGCTAGGCTATGAAAAATTCGATGAAATTGAGTCATAAGGCGTCCCCGTGCCGACACGGCATTGGCACGCGCTGGCACAGCGGATGGCCCACTGGCAGCCACAAGCGCTACCCAAGTTTACCTGTCTCAGAAATTTAGTATCTTATCAGCAATTTTCAGGGGTGGTTATATCCTCATACCTGATTACTACGAATTTTGGCAAGGACAAAGCGATCGTGTACATGATCGCTTGGAATTTCGAAAGACCGACGTTGGAAATGGCTGGGAAATGCGGCGGCTTTCTCCATAGATTGTAGAGTTTCGAATAGCTATAGACTGATTGTGATTTTCAATCATAATTGTTCATAATTTGTGACCAAATAAATATTCTCCACTTATTGCTCCTTATGGTATTTGAACGAAAAGAAGTTTTGCCGTTCGTTATCTGCGAAGCGATGACTAACAGAACTATAAAAAGTGAGTATAGATGTTGCTGTCATATCAGTCATTATGGTTTCGTAAGATTCATAGTACCGCTGGTTTGACATATTTTTCTCACTAATCTCGTTTTTTCTTTGTTGAAATAGTTTTTATCAATGGCTTACAATTTTCGATTTGATCTTATGATCAGAGGTTTTGACTTGCTCCAATTTCTTCTTGATAGAAATCATATTTGATGGGCAAAAGTCTTGCACATATAATGAAGTGAGTTTCTCGAAGTTATCGCATGTTATCGTAATCCGGTTTTTACAGCGATAAAAATAGTTCGTTTCCATCCAATTTTGTCGACCTGTTTCAAACATAAAGCAGTAGCTTCCAGGATTTCCTTGGAGACATCAGAAACTTCTTCTAGATATAAGGAGCGCTTTCAGTCGCGCCTTTTGAAAAACTTCTGAAGAGGCTTGCTTTATCCGAAAGCTTTGACGGTGCAAATAAATAAGTTTTTTTAGCATTATGAACAAAATTCGCTTGCGCTTGGTTAGTTTCTTAGCCTGCATTTATTATGATATTCTTGTTTTCCTTCATCTTGAGTGGAAGTCTGATTCGTAGAGGAGATTTTTCATGAAGAAAAAGAGAAGAGATCGCCCCAGAGAATATTTTTCTTTTCTTTTGTATCACTCCAACCTCACTACCTAATCTCATCTTAGAGAGCTTGAGATGAATCTGGTCTTCATCATTCAAAAATTTTGGATCTACTTTTTTCTGTAGGATTCGCTTTGTTTGCTTATCTCAGTACATTTGCACCGGAGTTCTGCTCAATATCGGCACGGTTCATTTAGTTTTTCGCCATAGGTAGTAAAGTCGTAAAAGTGCCAATGAAGCATTCATTACTCACTCTTTTGGAATCCAGCAAAATGCGCTGTTTTAGATGTTACAAAACTCAGAGATTACAAAGTTGTTTACACTTTGTCTATTTCACTTCTTCGTTCTTAATCGCGAAGGTTAGCTTCAACTATCCGTTTTGGTTGACGCTAACCTTTGCCTTTTTCGAAACAAGGAAAGAACAGTCATAGATTACTCAAAGCAGCTCGTTTGATAGCGCTATGAAACCATTTCTGTATAAAGGGCCAGGCATACTTCACGCGATTTTAGTCGCGACGGATTTGGCAATATTCCAACTGTCCATAACTCACTGGCACATTTTGAATGTACAGAAGATGGGACATTCTATCAATCCGCAGTTATACACACTATGCACGTGCAATTTGTTAGTGTTGGATCTGAAGACTTCTGGCGAATTGCCAAATCGCGTCGCGACTGAAATCGCGTGAAGTATGCCCGACCCTGAAGGCTTTTTCAAAACAATGAAAGAACAGTCATAGATTACTCAGAGCAGCTCATCTGATAGCGCTATGAAATCATTTCTGTATAAGGGGGTGGGGGAATACAGGTAGAGTGTTTTTGAAAAGATGCGAGAGCTGTGTCAAAATCGGACAGAAAAGAAAGTACACAGATTTTCAAGAATATGCCCTTCAGTTCCAAACAACAATTGTGGAACATGCCAACACTTCATCAGAAACCTTGATCTCACGGTTGCGCAAATAGTGTGAGTAAAGTAGATGTAAGGCAGTCATGATCTGTTTCCAATTTTCTTTGACCATCTTCATTCGTAAAACGAGAACTATGCCATTCTGTTTTGAAATCAATGAACGAGCGTTAACATTTGCGGCACAAAATCGCATAAGCGAACGCATATTTTGTCTATTGTTGAACAGCCAATCACTTGTCATTTGCTTGTATTTTTTACAATTTTTTTCCTGGTATGATATATGATCCTAAGACAAGTTTGGGCAGTCCTGTTAACGATTTGTGTTGATTACACTAATCTAAGCACAAATCTTTTTGAAGCAGATGTACTCTTTTTAATCGACTTATTCTCTTCATCATTCACATTCGGTTTGTGCTAGGCAAGCTTACATTCACTTCTTTACAATGATTTCTTGCCAATCAAGCTCATCTTGGTCTCAAACGTACATAGTTTTCAACTAGAAAGGATCATACATGCTCAGACAATATACCTGAGATTCCGCAGGACAAGCAAAATTTGCTCCGCAGGTGACCCCGCGGATCTCTCCTAACGTTCTGCGGAATCCGGTCAGCTGAGTGCCTATTACAAGAAAAAGATCCAGTTTTGCGTCTTTACGTTTTATAATGTGAGCGAAAGAAATACCTTGATGACAGTTCATCCAAATGAAGACCGAAATCTCGTGGAAGATCTGCTAAGGCTATTCTTGGATTATGATAACGCAAATTCTTGCATCGACTAGCTATTTTCGAGTTTGGCATGCGATTCGTAGCAATGCGGCAGTGTTTACATCGTGACTGATATGAAAGCAAAGTAAAAGTACACTTATTAAGAAGTTCCATGTGCAGGCGTAAAAAAGTTACCGTGGCAGAGGAAATACCTGAATTAGAATTAGGCCTGCGCTCCTTCAAACGTTTCTCCTCCTTCCAAGAAGTGAAGTTAAAACGTCAGCCCGATGTTATGGCCGATAAAGGTAACTATATTCTTACATTCTACGTAATTTCGAGCAAGAGGTAGTCTAGGTAGGTAGCAGCATATATATATAATAAAAGCAATAACTGAGTAATGAAAATGATAATAGACAAAATGATAAAAATATTGACTGAGTGATAGAAGTAAATCTTTAGTATTTTAGTAAATCCCCCTCATAGATATGAAACTTCACTTATGGAGGATACTTTACCCACGCGAGATCCTCAAGAACTTTTGAAGATATGGTACAAACAATGTTTATGACTTTCTCAGACCAAATTAGAAATTTTTTAGGCGTGAAACAATAGCAAGAAGTAAAACAACTTCGGATCTCGAGCTCAACGCATGTTGCCTGTGCACAGTAGGGAGGTATGTGCTTCGATCAAATCTTTGTAAAACGGAGGTAGTTGACGGTCAATGAGTGCCCTTGCGTTGCCGATATGCGCGTAGATAACGGCCACGAGGCACATATTGTGCCCTATGGCCTTTTTATTACGCGCAAATGTTGCTGCTACCGTAAGGGCACTCAAATGTCAATTTCATTGAAATATAAGTCTTGCATTGTATACTTACTTCTTGCGCTTTTTATAAGTAGGTTGTTTATACACATACGACAGCTTTCTGCTCACTTCCAGAATTACAGAAATATGCAGCCCTCAAGTCGAATTATCATGCCCACATCCTACACTGCTGAAGGGATCTCATTCTTCTGTAACTATGACAGTAGAAAAGGAAGGGAGCTAGAAGAGAACCCAAGGGCCTCAATGCTTTTTTACTGGCCTACTCATTACAAACAGGTTCGTAATATTTGTTGGATGAGAAAAAAAAAACCAGACTACTTTTTGAAATGCTACTGTAGAGATGTAAAGGTGTTAAGGTTCGTTTGGAAGGTGGTGTATGGAAATTGACCGTTGAGGAGGCCGAACTCTGTTGGAAATCATTGCCTTTATCACTGCGAATCGGTTATAAAGTCAGCGAGCACTGCAGCAGTGTGGTTCAGAATAAACAGGTGGGTGGATCCTACGTACATAGCAGTGGCAAAAAAATTTTCTAAAGAAGGTGCGTGGCGTTAGCCACGCACTTTGAAAAAATTTTGGGGGTGCTTCCCAAATTTTTTCTTCCCGACCCCTAAACGCCCCCGAAAAAAAATTTTTACAAGGCTAATTTGAATTTTTAAAAATTTTTAAAAATTATTTTAATTATTTACAAAAATAAACAAGTCACTTACACATTTTTATAACCCATATAAGTAACTTTTAAAAAATTTCGCGACCCATTCTCGGGGGGGGGGGGGGGGCGCGCGCCTCCCCCCTCGGTACGCCACTGGTACATAGCTTCGGATACATCAGGCTCAGCAGCTAAGTTGTCCCAACACACAAAAAGCCCGCAATTACAAATCTACTCAAATTAACCACCCCAAAATTTGCCCGAAGTTCATTGGCGATCGAACTACGGATTAAAGATTTGAAAAATTCAGTGTCTCCAAGACAAGCGCAAAGCTTTGGAAAAACTAGCGGCAACAAAAGGAGAAGCAGCTATAACAAGATTAGAGACCTTGTAAGTTAAAACATGAGAACTTTGGACCATCTTGCCGAGAGAATCAATTTCAGCGGTGGATACATTTTTAAACCTGACTATTTCGAATTTTGGCAAGGCCAAAGCGATCATATCGATGATCGTTTAGAATTTTATAAAACCAATGGTACATGGTTGGTGCAGAGACTTTCGCCATGATTTGTACAAGCATTGGTTAGATCAAAATCTAGTCTTTCTTGTTGCACAGTTCAAATATGTATGTGAATGAAGTATAAACAATTTATTATTTGTAACAGTTATTACGAGTCTTGGATAGGGTCAAAACCTTGTGAATAGATTGTACTTATTTGGCATTAGATGTGAGTTGAAACAAATACATATAGGTAGGTGCTCGAATGACTGGTCAAGATGCATTTCATCAGCAAGGTAGTTGGATTTAGGAATTATCACAGCTCGATGATTCAAAACAAATGCTTTAGGGTACACAAATCGATAAGAATTAATGCTAATTCTGGGTAAAAGCCACCTTACAGATTATTACAGGACTATATGTACAAAAAGACAGAGGAAACGGAAAAAGACAAGATCCATGAGTCATGAGTCGCTTACTTGGATATTCCTACCAAAAACGCTCCAATAAGTGTTGTGGTTATAGCAACCATTAGGATGTTGACATTGCGTCTGCCAGTGATTTCCCTGGAAATCAATTACAATTAAACGTGAAACTAACCAATCAACATCAAATTTTGTAAAAAGAAACTGACTTGAAATAGAATATGCTCCACATTGCAGCGCACACTCCCGGCACCATACTAATAATTGGAAAGGTGACTGCTTGCGACAGTTTGTCGTTGGCTACGAACCAGGAAGTCTGAGCGATGGCCCACATAGCACCGGCAATCATACTCGGGCCGACTATATGCGGATTTACAGTAGGATTATTCTAAAAAAAATTGATCGTCGAAAGGGTATGCCTGGTCGATGCGTCTCCAAATTTTATCTGTGCAAAAATCTAATGGAATATCGATCTTGTTTTTGACATGAAAAGGCATCCACACATATAGATGAAGGTTTCTGAATAATGAAGTCTTGAAACGTAACTTACCCTACTGAGGATGATGTAAAGTATGAGAAGAGCAGTGGCAGTGAGAAAAATGCCGCAGTAATGTGAAAATACATAGTCCAAACCGAGATTAGAAGCCAAGGGGTACTGAAAAAATATGGAAATCGATCTAAGAAACGATCATAAAATAGTACCAACTATTTCTGGATGATCTTGCATGTAGATGACCGGGACAAATGTAACACCGTACAGGATACCAGCACCAAGAGCAATGAAAATTCCACTAGATTAAGCATAAGCAGATACAATATCACATAGTGATCATCAGATGATATTGAACTCACATGATTCTCTTGGTCCTGCGATTAAATACTGCTGGTGCAGATGGACTTATAAGTGGGCTTCCTTCTTGTGTGTCATCTATAATCCTTCCTTCGTTGATATCTTCGGGGTGCGATAATGAGCGAACTGACGGTCGAATTTGAGAAAAGCAGAAACCGCTGGATAAAAACGGATTGATATGCAACAGATGTTCAAAATGGAGCTTACCCCACTATCACCATCAAAAGCCCTAGATAATTCAACGCTGGCACTGCGGGTACACGAGCCCTTGTTCCAAACAAACCATATCTTCAACTTCCTCCAGTAAAAAAAAACAAGAACAAAGTTTTCGAGAGTTACCTTCCCACGGCCCAGCCAGTGACGCAGTTAGTTGTTCCCCAGATGAGCATACCCATTCCCATACCAAGAGAACTCATAATAGGTATGGCAGTTACGTTACCTGGAAGGCAAGATGGTCACTTCAAGCACGCATTTCTAAGTAGCAAACCGAGGGCCCAGAAAGCTCCACCAAGCATTGCGAAAGGTTGAAACCTAGGATAATGCTGTATGATATTGACAGTCAATCCTACACAGAGTATAGCGGCAGACATCACCCATTGCACAAACAAACCTAAACACTATATATACATTATAAAATAACGAATCTGTTGCTTCTTTATAGTGGAACATGAACTGAACCTACCGTTTCCAGCGTCAAATCTTTTGACAGGCACGTATGCACTTCCAAAGAATATTGAAGACAATGCACATGCTCCCAAACCTATCGCTTTCGAGCCCATTCACTGAAAAGAAAATATAGATATTCAGTCGAATGGTAATTACCAATTATGGAGGCGCAACGATAACAAGATAAGGAGTCGTTTGCACGTTATCATACTTCCGAACCAATTCTGAGGTAATTATTTATCACCAGTATGAAAACGCAAAAGTATAAAAATGGATGGAACATGACAAAAATAAAAATTTGATAAAAGTCCTAATCTGCAATATACTACTTGTCTGAGGGTTAGTCATCTCCACCAATAACTTCCTTCAGCTCATCATCTTCTGCATTTAGATCCTGAACCGAAGGGATATTTCGAGACTACTGAACTGTTTTGATTTCGCGGCCAAAAACCGCTACCTACCTTCAAGTGATCATATCTTACGATTATAGAGGTAGGCAATCCTCGAATGTCACCGGAGGGTGTTATCTTTGGTCTCACTTCGGGACAAAGGTCTCGAATGAGCCTGAAGGGTAATCATGAGCATAAATGGTGAAACGACACGACTGTTTCTCACCTATTTCGTTTCAACTGCTTCCAGTATAATTCTTTTCCACCTTCGCAATGATCAAACGATGTTCTTGCAGCGACACTATCAGCGTGAACATCAGTTATATACCTAAAGTACTGATCTATGTTCTCAGTACGACCATTACAACTTCTAGGATAATGTAGAAGCAAAAGAAAAAGCATGATAGCGTGTTTAACCACATCTATGAGTAATAGCAAAACAAATCAGAGTGAAACGCACCTATACAGATAGTACCATTGTTTATTGGAAAACCAAGCGGCAGCGACGAACAACGAATAGATGACGAGAAATGACGTGGCAGTTCCCCCACCAATTTTCGCGGACTAAAAATCGCTTGTAGATTGTTGCTGCGCGACCAAACAGATGGGTAGGTATCTGCTCACACTATGTAGCCAGTACGTAAAAATGCTCGTAAATGAAGTCCATGTTGTCCAAGATATGGCTCGTTGAGCTAATGAGGCATATCCGTCATACGCATGCAAGTCTCGCAAAAACATGAAGCGAAGAGCCTCAAAAATGATAGTGAACTATTGATCCACAAAAAATATGAAACGCTTACGTTATCCGACAAACCATAAGAAGCAGCTAGATCTTTTCCTAATGGACTGTCCCAATCTATGGGCACTTTTACACCAAGGTAGTCGAGAAGATCGATGTTGTGGGTTCTAAATTAAAAGAGCACGCTAGCAAAATATTGTAAACCAATCGTTAAAACAAAAATGTAAGCGAGAGATCAGGCAAGAAAAACATACCTGAAGTAGTCTAATGCCTCTTCCGCATTTTTGAAGCGAGCATGGAATGGCACGGCAACATGCAGACCCGTACGAACTCCGAGCGAGCCAGCAGCAACCGTTTCGTAGTCACCTATCAAAGCGTAGATAATTAAAAGAAAACCAAAAATGAGCACTCCAGGTAACCACATCCAGAAAAAAAAATCAAGAAATTATGAAGGGGTTTTACAAATGCACCAAACGATGAAGGAATGTGACCATGGAACATTATCACTAACTTATGTTCTTCCCGATGTGCTGCGTAACTACTGCGTCTTTCGGTATACGAGCTTCATTATCAAGAAAACGAGCATACTCCTGCAAAAAACACAAATGGTCCAGGCAAAGAAAACTCAGGCGCACCTCCTCGGCAATCTTCTTCAGCCTAGGTGGGAGATCCTCTACTGCAAATCTGCAAAGCAACTCATTGACGCCACATTCTGCTAGAAGTTGAAAGTACCACAAACCTACGTGGGAAAGTGAAATTGACAAGCGGACCATTTGTGAGCAATGTAGCAATGGGATACGCTACAATAGTACCAGCAAGCAGCCCTATCCGTAACCGTCTACCAGCTTTCGTTTGGAGAAATTCTGTAGCCTGTTCGTTCCATCTTCTAGAAAATAAGACTTTTCAATAGGATACCGGTGGGTCACAGACGCAGATAAGTGCTGAATATGCGTCTACTGCAGCAGCGCGAATCTGACTACATGTAGTGAAAGTATGGACGCAACATCCATATTTGACCGGGGGTGCACTACTGCAGTGAGTGCTGATCGCTTTTTTGCATCGGTGCCAACATATATTATATCAACGACAGATTGAAGAGACAAAAAATATAAAATGATAAACATACTTGTAAGAAAACGAAAACAGTGACCGTGAGAAACGCATCAAAAACCTGAGTATTTCTGCAACCATATTATATTTTCTGAATGCACACCGATTCAACCAAAAAGATGAGCAAAACACTTTGCTAAGAATCCAGACTAAAATGGAAGTGACATTTATACCAACTTTATAAAACAACTAGATAATAATTAATGCGATCACAAGTACTGACAATTTGGAAAGCTCACGAACACACACATGATACAATCTAATAATATAAATCTAGAACATATACTGCAATTTTGTAACATGCTAGTGAGTATTAGGCGTGTTCGCTACATTAGCTACATTATGTTCTACAACTGGATGCTTCTGTGATTTCCAGTAATTTTCTAGATGCTTCAACCTAGTTGAGAGGGGGATTGCATCCAGTCTAAAACGAATATCGGAAGTAAAATGTCTCAAAAGCCCATAGAGTAAGCACTCACTTGCAATCGCCATTTTTTGCTATATTTTTCTCGCCTTCTTCTCCTAAAACCACTCTTAATAGTCGATTCAATTTCATCGTTGATTCGAAGTAGTCACGCGCTCCTCGGAAATACTCTTCTCCTCTGCAAATCAGCAATAATACTAGAAGTTCACAAAAGGAAGAAGAAATAGAATTAGATTGAGACTCACAAGTCAACGGCCTTTTCATCTGCCCACTGCATTTTGTACAGGTTATAAGATTTGTAAAATTGTCGGAAAATGACCAAACTGATAGCTGCAGCAGCAACTGAACCGAGGACTAATCCAACGACTTTGGAAAAACCTGAAATGCAAAAACTGTACGACAGAAATTCTTACGACAACCCTCAGAATCAAATGAAGACAAACCACAGGCCAGAAATACATATAGGCTCGCTAAATTCGGACCAACTCGCTTGAGAATGTTTTAGACTAGTAGGTAAAAAGTGACGAAGTTGTAAGTTACATGATAAATTACTACAGTTATAATTAATGAAAACAGTACATGGATCAAGTGAGATACATTGGAAAATTGAAGGAAAAATTGAAAGAAACGATGACGTCAATTTTTTTCAACGGTAAGTATAGTCGTTGAGGCCATCTTCACCTACTAAAAATTCAAGGAAGGATGGAACAAGCTCAAACCCACCAAGAACGAAGGCATAGCCTGCACCAAAAATGACGAACCAAGCGAATATTGGAGCGCAGAAAAGAACTCCGCTGAACAGAAAAAATTAAGAACTCGGTGAATACTGCGGTACATACCTATTAGCAATTTGCAACTCTCGTTGTACGAGGAATTTCTTCGCTAAATCTGACAGCATCATTCGTGAGACCAACTCCTCGCCAACCTTCGAATTCAGTTCGATTTTCCGTCGATGCCTAATCTTAGGATTATCTTGAGATTCAGTTAACAGCATTTCAGCTCGAATTGCCAATCTTCATCAAATCCAAAACAACGAAGGCAAAACTCACGATGCATATCTCTCCCAAAATAATTTCAACTTGGAACGTTTCAGTCCAGATGAACTGTAAGTGCACGGAGAAGGAGATCTCGGCGAGGATTTTACCACATCGTTTTGTATGAAGTAGGTGTTGAGAAAGGTTAATGAGCGAACCTTGCCAATCCTAGATCCAGTTCAATGTTGTGAGCTGATCGACGCGCGTGATCCACATTCTCAAACGAAGCTCGCACGGGAAACTGAAGTTCAGCACCAGGTTGAAGGAAAAATCCGCCATATGTTCGGGGCTCACCGGATTCGGTCAAGCTGACGAAGACCTACAAAATTGGTGAAATTTTAAGAATTCTAAGTTCACAACGCTTCGCACCGTAAAACTCAATTAGAATGCGGAACGCCCAAAATTTTAAAACCATTATTATGAGGCACATCCCAAAGTTTCAAACCATTTTTGTAAGGCACACGCCATGCCATGCTTTCAGTTTATCCGCTTTATCCACTTCGCTATTGGTCGAGTCAGTGAACTGACCAACCGCGAAGTGAATGAAGCGGATCAAGTATGGCGCGTGCCTCATCTGTCTACAGATTCTAGCTTGACCAAACTATCTTTCTTGATTTACTGGTACTGAAGTAAGTTCACGCAAGAGCGTTGCCGTACAAATAGGCAAATTAGAACGTCAGATGAATCCTCTACAGAATAGCTCCAGATTGCAAATTTTGTTGTCACAAAAAACTGTGCGGAATGCGTGCATGTAGATACATAAAATCGGAAAATGGAAATACAAAACATGCACATTATAATGCATTAAAAGTACCTCCCAGCAAATAGAGAAACGTGAAAAAGGACTGCTGTAATCGTTAGAATAAATTATAATGCCTCTTTAAGTCATTTCAAGTGTCATATGGCGATTTCAAAAAATCGAACGTAACACTCAAAGAAGGAGAACATGCTGCATGCACACCTTAGCTTTCTTTATGTCTCCAATTTTGTCGAGTTCAGCTTCCACCAGATCTTCTAGAGATTCAGAGGGTGGCATAGCACTGCGATTAACATAAGGTTTCGCCCAAAACTGATCTCCTCGGAATCCTAGAACGATGTAACGAAGATGCAACGAACAACAGATAAACTAACCATTTATGACCAGATAACATGCCGGATAAGCAGGAATAAGGCCAAGATACGCTTGCCTCATCCACCATCCCGCTCCACGCATTGTCTAAGGAAAAAAAAGCTGAAATTACACAGATTTTAGCCAGACATTGATTTTAGAAAAACAAAAGTCCCGAAGGTTATGGAGATATGGAAAAGTTCTTGATTACAACATCAATAAAGTAACTTACAGCTAATATCTGTAGATAGTAGAGGACGTCTATGTCGTGTTAACAGATGGAGGAGATCTGAACAAGACAAATCCGTTTCCCTGCGATCAAACCCATCCAAAAATCGCTTACCAAAGACTGTCGATTTCCGGCTTTCAATGTGCCATAGATGTCTCAAGGGGAGAAGTTTTACTAAAAAAAGGTTAAGGTTTTAACGCTCGTCGAGAGTGTTTTCCAAGCAGGTGATGAACTATCTGCATTGTTGCGTATGTGTACTACAAACGATTGCGCTGACGGCTAATTTTGAATTTTGCAAGGCTGGAGAAGTTGCGCTAAGCTGATTTTGAGTGTCGACTTTCGAATCTTGTTAACATTACACTTCCTTGGTACGATGTTTTTATCAAGTCACGTGGGATGAGTTTTATCCTGGCTTATAAGAATGGTTAACGTCTGAGTTAGCGATTTGCTCTAATCTTTGTAGTTCTTTTGTGAGGAGAGATGAGGGGAGCCGGAGCGCTGTAACTTTTGAATCGACTGACTTGGCGGCTGGAAGGCGGGGCTTTGTGACCTAGTTAAGACTGCTCGCGCCCGCGACGCAGTCTGCGTCTCTCCCGCGCGCGTGCTCTCTGATCATTACCTAGCCTCAATTAGGTCATGAAGCTCCACCTTCCAGCCGACGAACCAGTTATTTCGAACGGTACTTGCCCTATGGTCGATCCGATCGAAATCGGGTCACTAAACTGCGGATAGCAGGGTGAAAATCGTCATAGGCTTAGGCCTGTCATAACCTTCAAATGAACTCGGAAGGTTGAGCCGTTGTTGTTCCAATCTTGTTCTCATAAGCGATTTTGTCCGGTGCCGGACTGGATCGGGCCCTTTTTGATTGCCTTATATTTGATAGTGAGGGGTCTCTATCTAGAACCTCTGAGAAGGCGAGGCACGGGTCAGGGATCAACAACCCGGTAAATTCATGTCAACCATACTTTACTTGTTTGAATTGGATTTAACCCGTTGGACTCACTTGTCATGATCTTACGTGATAAAATGTAGCTCTTCGTCTTTTGCCTAGAACAAAAACGCTGCAGATCAGTGTATGGTTTAGTTTCGCTGCTTGGGACTGTAAGTTTTTTTTTCATTGAGTTGGTAGTTTACTAAATGGCTCACTTCCATTGAGATTTTGCGCGTTTGGAAAACATCGTGTGCAAGCGGTTCAAAGGGGTCTACGGCGCAGTAGAGGATGAAAATGAGGTAAAGAACCAGATTGATTTATTAGTCATGTAGTACGTAAGCTCTTACTCCCGAAGACCTCATAGGCGCCACATTCACGCGTACCTCATTCACTTCATCCACTTCGCTATCGGTCAGCTCACCAATTTAAAGGCAGTGTCTCACCAAAGTTGAGGTCGCGCGGATCTTTACATATTCTATTATAGGGACCTCTAGATAGGTCATTGCAACAACTCCCACTCAATTTGATCCCCTCCACGCTGAGAAAAATTCGCTCAAAGTGGTACGCGGAGAGCGAGTTGGTACGCGCGGACGACTCCTTCGGTCTCCCCCCTTACGCGTTTGAACATGTCCCTCCACTTGCCATCCACCTCCCCTCTGTTGTTGCCACTGTGGCTGAGGCTGGAGTTGGAAGGTACAACTCGTCCACGTTGATTCCGCGGGGCCTCCAGAAAACGGGGTTTTTGGGAACTTCGTGCGATTTTAAGTCCATACAATGCTAGACAGGGTCCGACAGGCTTGCAAAATGCAAAAATCTCGGCAACTAAATTTTGGTGAGACACTGCCTTTAACCAATAGCGAAGTAGATGAAGTAGATCAAGCAGATCAAGATTGGGTCGTGTCATACGCTTCGCAGAGTGACCCGACTGCCTTTCATGGATTGGCTTTAGGCATTTTAGTGCTCTTCGATGAGAACAAAGGGTGGTAATAGCTCTCTCCCTTTCTTTCAAGATTAAAACTGAAGTACCCGCTACATGCCTTTGCCAACATGTTGCTCGTCCATAGAAATATAACTCAACGTCCTTTCTGAATTTAAAGCAAAAGCCTCTCAGCTAAAAATGACATAGAATTATATCTCTGTATACATAGTATCGTTCCGCATCTAGGTGAATTTCACGTTAGCCTAATTGGTAGGAAAGTGGCCTTTGAAGCAGGGAGTATTTGCTTTACTTAACCTACAAGCTAATGAGGGAGCGTGCCTTGTTTTTGCTCCTTATACCCTTTAGAATATAGTCAGTGCGAGTTCCTCTTGTGGATGAACGATATCCCAAAGTCTATGAGTCGCGAGCTTTTTAACACGTTTCGGACCGCGAAATCGCGCGCGGCGAAAAAGAGTGCACTTTCAGCAGTTAGCCAACAAAGGGACCTTATTTCGCAGACTGTGTGCTACATCTGTAATCATCTTGTCAGATAAGTTCCATAATGAAAGTTCTGAGTGAATTCGAAGTTTGAATTTTGCCGCTTGAGAAGGACTGCTGTGTTTTCCTGAAAGATAGGAACAAGAATTTAGTTTCTAATAGTATCCAAAAGTACCTATGTTGTAAACGGTACACATTTGTATTGAAACTACGGTTTTTCTCTTTAAAATCGAAGCAAGGAAAAGTTGCAACGTCGCACGCGTCGTTCGCGTTGCCGCACTTCGTTGCAACTGTTGCTCGATTTGCGCTTGTATCTCCTAAACAAATATTGGCAACACAACTCTACAGTGTCACTTGAAAAGTAGAAGCTTAGGTCTTTGACTTGATAACCTTGGACTAAAACAAAAACTCCTGTAAACGTCAAAAAGATCCTTCAAAGCAGCGTGCTGCACCATGTGCAGCACCGGTCCGAAACGTGTTAACATTTATTGAGAGAGTAATGCCTTGCATCACTTGGAAGAGAAATCATCAACAAAGTTTATTCTTTATTTCAGGAAGTCCATGGCAGAAGATATTCCACGCTGGTTGGTATGCGGTGCTGGTGCAGGGCTCGCTGTTGATCTCGGTTTATACCCTTTAGATACGATAAAGACAAGATTACAAAGCAAACAAGGCTTTTTCGCTGCTGGAGGATTTAGACATATTTACAGGTACATAATCACATTTTTTTCTGCAGCATTTTTTTCTAATGTTTTGTTCTCTCAGCTGCACTGCTTTAGCGGCATGGGATCCGTTGCTATCGGCTCAGCTCCTGGAGCCGCTCTCTTCTTTGTGACGTACAGGTCCGTGAACGGAATGTTCAATAAGGAAAGTAGGTAGAAAACTTGGCTTTTTTTGTCGTTTTTCCATTTTTTATTTATGCTTGAAATTTTATCAAGCCTAAGAGCATTGTAGGACTACAATTATTCTTGTCCATGCTATTTTATTTACAGTCAATAGATCCTCTTTTTAGATTGGCTAGTTCGCTCGTTTTCGGCAAGTATAGCGGAGATTGTGGCATGTGCTATTCGAGTCCCTACCGAGCTAGTGAAACAGCGAATGCAGGTGTATTTCTTCATTCAATCATTTGTCATTTTTTTTTCATATACCGTCCTTTTTCCTGCCTTTAAAGGCAGTGGAGCAGCAGAATGGACCCTACTCGAATTTTGGTGGATTTAGGTAGTAGACCCCTCAAGTACACTTTTGGTGGATTTAGGTAGTAGATCCCTCAAGTACACTGTAGTCCAAACCCCACTTGCCAATTCATGCGCTAAGTCCCGAAAAATGCGCTTCAAAACTCCACCAGCCCCGCCCCTTTCCATTGAGTGGGAGGGGCTGGTGGAGTTTTGAAGCGCATTTTTCAGGACTTAGCGCATGAATTGGCAAGTGGGGTTTGGGCTACAGTGTACTTGAGGGGTCTACTACCTAGATTCACCAAAATTCGAGAAGGGTCCATTCTGCTGATTCACTGCCTTTAATATTCCCTTCAATCTTTTATTGCTCTGCACTTTACTTTTGCGATAACACCCCATCAATTTAGGCTTCTTCCTCGAAGCGAATGTTGTCGGATGTTTGCATAGAAATTTACAAATCTGATAATCTCAGAGGATTCTACAGAGGATACGTCAGCACCATCATAAGGGAGATACCATTTTCTATAATTCAATTCCCACTTTGGGAGTACTGGAAGGATGCTATTGCAGCAAGGAAGGTGAGTAGAGCGTTTTGATGTTATCTACAGCTGTCATTAGTGGAAACTTCCCATTATATAGTGTGAACAGCCTCTTATAGGGAAGAGAGTGTTCTCCGCTGGAAGGTGCCGCTTGTGGCAGTGCAGCCGGATTAGTCGCTGCAGCAATCACAACACCTCTTGATGTAGCTAAAACACGAATAATGCTATCCACAAAGCCTGAAACTCCCTCGATTATGACGACACTCAAAGAGGTTCGTTCAGCAGTTGTCAAAGAAGTTTTCTTGAGTTGGCAAAGATCGGCCCTTGGGCAAAAAGCCCCCTCCCCTACGAAACAAATAGTCAGATTGATCAGCTTCATAGCCAAAAGTGGGGTACGGCCATTGAACGGTCAGTGCTATCACGACCTGTGTGGCAGTGGACCTCATGGGCAAGTGCTAGGCGACAAGTAGCCACACAAATCTTTGCTTGAGTCTTACTGCGCATTCGGTTGCGCTGCGATTTTTCCCGACCCCAGAACTTGCGTGAAGGACATCAGTAAAACTTCTCCAAATGAAAAGTGACATGACTCATCCTTTCTTTTTTATACTGAAGAGTTCTTATCATTATGCAACGCAAATATGTCACTTGCACCCACCTTAATCGAGCTCTCAAAAATTTGAGCGCATTGGATTTACGGAGAGAGAGGAGAAAGCCGCTGCCCACTTGATCTTCCTTTTTGAAAACGAAATGAAGTCATTTCGATCTAGGTTTACTCTACTGGTGGTGTGAAAGCTTTGTTTTCTGGAGTCACGCCACGAGTTTTATGGCTAGCTCTTGGAGGCTTCGTGTTTTTCGGTGCTTACGAGACCGTCTTATCCCTGTCATATTGGGTTTGTCCAGATAAGAAACACGCCAAGAATGACAAGTCGTGATTGCCCATATCTGTGTATTTATTGTTATTAGGGTAGTATGTTAGTTGTTATTTTGACGATTCTCCATCACAGGTTTATCCGATTCCTACTTCAAATCGATGATCTTATGCCTTGAAACTTTGTTCATTTTTGTATAAATCATATGTGATAGCTTGAGGTAACGAGATTCATTGGCTTTTTGACAAACGATAGATTCACATTATTTAAAACAACCCTGTACCTACAAGACCTTGAATTATACCTGAAAACGAATATTGGAAGATATAAGTTTGAAAGGTAAAACAATCTGACTTGAGCAATTATAAAATGAAAGTGATAAGCATTGTTTCCTAGTTGTTGCGTTTCTTAGCGATTTGCACCCGCCCTTCTGTTAGATCAGAGTAGGATGCATGTATTTGTCTGGTATCCCATGGCAGTGTGGACTTGAATGACACCACAGTTTCGGTGATGCAATCCATCTTAGCGGGGAATTTTCCATACTCCAAGTTTTCGACATGGACTTCTTCGCCTTGCTTGTATCTAAAATAGGTGAACATCTTATATATAAAGCTGAATGTCTGTTTGTCTGTATGTCTGTATGTCTGTACGTATGTTCCGAATAGAAAATTCCATTTCTGAACCGATCCGGACCAAACTTGGCACACATACGCTACGGGCCCCGGCGGGTGTCATAGGCTACCTTTCGTCATCGATCGATATCGATTTTATCGATTTTTATCGATTTTTTTGCTGAGTTCACCTACGGGGCTGGGAGTTGGCACAGGGGGGGTAATCGAGCATGGGGATTCCGAATACAATATTGTTTTTCAGGATTATCGATTACTTTTATCGATTTTATCGATTTTTTGCAAAGTTTGAGCTACGGGGCTGGGAGTTCGCACAGGGGGGCAATCGAGCATGGGGATTCCGAACACAATATTAGTTTTCGGGATTATCGATTACTTTTATCGATTTTATCGATTTTTTTGCAAAGTTTGAGCTAGGGGGCTGGGAGTTGGCACAGGGGGGTAATCGAGCATGCTGATCATCCCCAAGGGGGGTGATCAGCATGCTCGATTACACCCCTGTGCCAAATTCCAGCCCCCTAGCTCAAATTTTCAAAAAATCGATAAAATCGATAAAAGTAATGGACGATCTTGAAAACTAATATTGTATTCGTAATCTGCATGCTCGATTACCCCCTGTGCAAAATCCCAGCCTCGCATGTCAAAATTTACAAAAAATCGATAAAATCAATAAAAGTAATCGATAATGTTGAAAACTAATATTGTATTCGGAATCCCCATGCTCACTTCCCCCCCCCCCCCCTGTGCCAACTCCCAGCCCCGTAGGTGAACTCAGCAAAAAAATCGATAAAAATCGATAAAATCGATATCGATCGATGACGAAAAGTAGCCTATGACACCCGCCGAGGCCCGTAGCGTATGTGTGCCAAGTTTGGTCCGGATACGGCGGAGCCGGGTAAGCCAGCTAGTAGAACATAAACAGGGGAATCAAATGATGTGGAGGGAATGGGATTCACTTACGCTTTTCCATCATATGTTAATTTCTGCTTCATTAGTATAACTTCGAAGAGCCGTTGAAGCTGAAATAGTCAAAGTTGCGCTACAGTATCAAAAGCACTATTAACGGGTTTTTAAATCTACAAACTAAGTTGCAGCTAGAGCTAGATCGTAACTCAAACATGTCCATGATTGATAACGTGCCGAAAAACTGCCAAAAATTCCCACATCGTACTGCGTTATTGACTCCAATGAGCAAAAAAAACAGCCGATAACATCTACTCTCCAAATGAATTAGTTTCTCACAAGAAGCCCAACAAAGGGCAACAAACGCGTGAACGAAAGTTTCTGAGGCCTGAGATAGCAAAACTGCGGACAGTCGCCTTTTCAATTAAATGCAACGAAAGTCTCTCAAAATCTGGCTGGAAATAATAAGAGAAGCTTGCTTACTTTGTGCGGACTGCTCTTATCGCCGGAAAAGGCGCGGACATCTTCGGCAATCTCAGAATCTGTCAGTAGATATCTGGTATCCACAGTTATATTTGGTGTTGCTGGCTTAGGTGTAGCATTGAAATAGGTCGGTGGTTCGATCAAAACCCCTCCACGACTGAAAATCTAATAGTGATGCAAAGTTTCATGAGTTTCGGGGAAAGATGACTAACATGCGAAGAACGGTATTTTGTTTGAGAAAGTTGGAACCAACACAAACTCACCCTCTCAAAGTCTTCTTTGTTGTGTCATTGAGAATATTGGGACAACATGCTCGCGACACTTCCATATTGGTATACTCTAGCTCTATGCGCTTTTCCATCTCATCAAAATCCTAATGAAGTTCAATCAACTATGAACTGAGCAGAATAAGCAAATTCTTACTGCCAACATGGTCTGTACGAGTTCCTTTTCTTTCCGCTCCAAATCATCTTGTATCTGTTGTTTCCGTCGATTGTATTCATAATCAATACGTTCAACGGCAAGCTGAAGGATCGTAAAACTTGTAAACTGTTCCAACGTGATGAATGTGAGTTCTCACCTCATGAGCTATTTGTTCACGCTCCCTTTGTTCTTCATAAATCTGTTCTATTTGTTTTAAACTTGCTAAGTATTCGGGATGGGTGCCAGCATCCACCTCATCGAGTTCTTTGTACAATTGCTCTAATTTCGTAGATGTCATCGTCGCATGCCTTGAAATTTCACAGCTACAAGTTTTTAATAAGCGAAAGATGAGTGCTATTGAGATGAAACAACTAGTGAAAACCGAGGCTGAATGAAAGGATAAGGCTGTGCAAGTAGCAGTTTTATATACTACATATCTATCTATGGATAAAAAGAGTATAATATTAGTGAAGTTAAAATATAATACTTTGGGAAGAAAAGAATATCGCTTTGCGGGTTTTTCCGCTAAGATCAGTCTTCTCATGAACTTTCCCATTTTTTTTCATAATTTTCCCAACCGTAAACAGAGTAAGTGTAAATACCGACAAATGCATATATAGACGATTCGTAGCACGCAAAGACTGCGGACCTAACTGCGTCTCTGTGATCGAGCGCTCTTTCGTTTCTCTTACCATCTGCTGCCTCTCCCATGCACGAGCTATCTTGCTCGGACGCAAGGGCGCCCAGTCTTTGCCTATATTGAACTGCCGGTACTTGCTACACGCAGAAATAAATTTCAAAAAAACTTTAATTTTTCAAGATCCGATTCTTAGCGTCATGAATTGTTCACGATTTTGGCTTTCGGGTTATTCCTGCGTTGCAAAAAAGACAGCATTCTCTTCTTTCCATCTTCTCTATCTTAATCACTTTCTCTAACCAAATTTTTCCTAGTTAGCAATAAATTCGTTGTTGGAAAGTGAGACATTCGGAGAATTCACTAAGTCAATCCTATGTTTACAAAATCTAATCAACTACCAAATTTTCACTAAAAGGCACCGAGATCGAAATCTGAGGTTGATGAGATATTGATGCGATACATTAGGTCCCTAGAACAGGTTCTCAAAAAGGTCATGTGTGATCTCACCGTTTATTTGTCTTTCCCCCAAAAGCAGCGGAAAAAGCTAAAGGTGCATAAAGCGTTTATATCATCACGTGCTGTGAAAAGTCTCACATTCAGCATATCAAAAGCATATCAAATGTGCATAACTATTTGCTTGATGATTCAATCAAAGGCGCAGGCAAAGGCTCATTATTGTACACATACGAAAAAAGGATATTTTCACTAAAATTTCTGTAAATCAAATGAAGATACAAAAAAATCAATTCTTAATCTTAATAATCAGCAAAATATACGTCAAAATATATGTAGATCATCAAGAGCAGAAGAGAAGTAAGCTGACAATCAAAGACGCAAAGACTTATATCAATTACTAAATCTTCTTTCTTTTGAGCAATAGAGAAGTAGGAAAACAATTTGATTCGAGCGAATGGAGAGCAGAAGTCATGAAGTGAGTGTAAACTGTTATAAATCAAGATTATGGACGCGAAACGTTGAAGAAAAAACTCCTCCGATTTGAATAAATCGAAAGTGCAAAGAGATTGGCCGTGTTCCAAGGAAAATTGGCTGTGTGCCAACAAAAGTTGGCGGCGCGCCAAGCTATGCAACGTTCGCTTGCATTTCTTGGAGTCTTTCCAGATAATTCAGTTCTGCCTTCCGGCTCATACCACCATTGAAATTGCATTCAATCTTACGGATTTTTGAGTGGGACCCACAAGTAATATCTCATCTGAAGCGCTTTGTGATCAGAAAGGGGAGAAACTATTATGAAATTCTGGCAGATGAAATTTGGACAAACTGAGAGCACAATGCACTTTGAATTTAGCCTGTGATTGACTTCGTTCAATAGTGCTTCATTTGGTGTCACGAGTGTTCCGAGTGTTCTTCCACTCTACACGTTGCACGTGATTTCTCCGCGATTTACTCGGTTTAACCGTTGATTTCGTTGAAAGTTCCCATCGCGTTTATCTCCATCCTACAATCTGTCACTATTGATGAATCTCCATCAATTTCACAGAATTTTCAGTGATAGTGGATTCGCAGTGCGACGTGAAATGGCCAAAGTGCAACGGCACGTGCAATGTTACGATGCTTATGCACCGTTGGAAAAGATCCAGCGATGTATACGAGATGGACATCATGTGATGGTTTTGATGCGAGGCATTCCTGGCAGTGGGAAGACATACCTGGCGAAGTAAGTCAATGATTTACGGCTGTTTTATAAGGATTTTTCTCTTCATTGCATTTGGCTCTCTTTTCTATTACCATATTTTGTGTATGATGGGTTGAAAAGTGGGTAGTGTATATAGATAGGCTTTGAACTTTGGCACTAGTGCTGCACGAACTCAAGAGGGTCAAAGGGGTTGCAAAATAAATTTGAGCAGAAAATTGATCCATGGAACTATTGTGTGCATCAAGTGAGTAAGGTTGGACGTTCTTTTTTCGAACTGCAATACTTCTGTGTGATGGAATCGTAATGACAGCCTTCTTTGGAATATGCTCATTACTTGTAAGTTCATTTCTATGTGCTTCTCACAATTATCATTCTCTCTTGCGTCGTAGGGCTCACTGTTGGGTTACGGACGGCAAATAGATGGTAATGTATTGTAGGCGGTAATATCCAAAATTCTGCTGAGTTTCGAATTGTACGTGAGCGGTACATCACATATCTCTGTTGGTTCATCGCGCAAATGCATCCCCATTCATTTTTGAAATACTGTAAATTTTTTCGGAAAGACGAGTGCATAATGGTATGAAGAGGTGACCGGTAAGGTAGGACGATTCCCATTTCTGTACTAGGTAGACCGTCTAATTTTTTGAGAATGGTAGACTGGTCTTGAAATAGTTGAAAGAATTGAAGCGCCGTTGGAGTAACGTGCCGAGGTGACCAGTCATTGAAAAGTTCGCACGCATTCATACCACAAGGTAGTAAGACCATATCCTTCAGCTTCCATCCTTCGATCTTTTCTCTAGGTTTTGATGCAGTTCGTACTAGAACAATTTTTTTTGCTTCTCACGATTCTGGTATTGCCTCAGGTAAATTCAATTGCTGGTTTTATCTGAAATCATCGAACTTCTTTCCTTTTTTTTGGGTCGCACCGGACTTTTAACTATTCCCACCATTAAAATAGTTTTTCCTTTTCGTCACTAGCCAAAGCTTAGCAATTTACGAGATATATTCCTAACAGGTGTAGTATAGATATAAAAGTATGCTTAGCCGGGATTGTAAGATGTCTGTCTCGCCATCTCGGCTTTTGTTGTTATGATATAGGTTAATAAGTAGGGTTATTGTTATGGGCGTATGGGTTAATACAGTAGTACAGTTGATAGTTTTTGTTAACTACAAAATCTCAACAAATTTGATATCTGAGCTTGTGCCAGCGAGAGTGAGGAGATCCGCATCTCACTTTCTGCCGGACTAGTTTTTGACAGAATTGTTTTGCAAAATCCTTTACTGATGCGGATCATATACAGTATTTTTCAGATTCCTAGCATCTAATTATGGCGGCATTATATGTAGCACTGATGATTTCTTCATGGAGAATGGTGAATATCGATTTAAAGGAGAAAAGCTGGAGGAATACCATAGGAGCAATATTCTACGAGGTAAGTATGCAGCTGTGCAAATGTGCGTCAAAGTTTCATGTCAGTCAGAGAAGCAATGAAGGATGGAATCAAGCCAATAATCGTCGATAACACGAATATTCATGCGAATCACATGGAGCAATATGCTTTTCATGTCAGTCTTGAGCTTCTTTGGCTGAAGTTACCCGCTTTTCTTCATCGTTACTACAATAATTTTTTCTCATTAGGCTGTTACCAATTGTTACGAAATATTTGTTTTGGAACCAGAAACGTCTTGGAAATACGTGGCTAGGGAGTGCTTCAGGTGAAACTCATAAACTTCCATTGTTATTGATCCATCATTAAGCATTTAAGGCGCAACGTTCACGGTGTTGATAAGTCTAAAATCCAGGCTATGTTAGATTCACTGGAGGAGCAAGGAAGGCCATCATTGTCGCAGTTGGTCGGCAAAGGGCGTCAAGTCAAGTGTGTTGTGTAAAATTTTCGATTTCTTGCTCTTCACAAATGTGGTAGTGTAGAACACATTATCAGTTTTATTTTCGTTCTCTGCACTTCTTACCTTCAGTTATTAGGCTAGAACCTCCGTGCGAGCCAGCAGAAGATGGCTCTGGCGAGCCTGCACTACCTATCAGTTCCGCAAGCATCGTCATAGCAGGTTCGGAAACATCCAGCATTTAAATCTTGATCATTTGAATTTTTGTAAATGTGTTTGAAAGCTTGTCCATTTTAGCTCCCAACAATATATGTCCATTATCATTGGAGGTGTCCGTTGATGATCGTCCTCCTGGATTGCCGGATCCGTCACCTAATGGTGAGCTTTTTGACGTTTTCCTGCGTATTTTCTAGGCATTTGATGGTGTTTGTAAGTTCGTAAAATTTTATTTGCAGACATTCTTGCAAAACTATTCCCTCAGAATGGTGTGCAGTCATCTCCTCAGTCACCAGCGCCAGTTTCGCTATCTTTGGCACCTGATCCCCGTCCTCGCACCCGTGTGGTCGAACAACGGGATATGGCGACGCAGACGAATGAGGTTCTAGGTAGGTTGGCTGAGTTTGTTACAAGTGCGCTTTTGTGTGCATATGTGACATTCGTTCCCTTGTTCTCGTTTTGTTTATTATTTTATGTATACATGGAGAGTCTGTTGTTGTCCTAATGGGTCCATCTGGACATCAGATGGCACATGTCTATGCACAGCTTCTACAACAAAAAGTTTTGCATAAGCATGTTGGTGTTTTGTACGAAATAGGGGCTTTGCAAAGACGGTTGGAGTCTTCAGAAATTGGTCTCAGGCCTTGTTCGAGTCTGGATTTGCGCACTCGAGATGTGTTTCATCTTCTTGCAGGAACTGCTACTGTGAATCATCAATGTGTCCTTCTCCCATCAAAGCTTTTTTGAATGTGTTTAGAAATTCAACTTCTGGAGGTTTTAAATTTATCTATTCCCTTTACGCTTTCAGTCACGTTGACATGTGCTGGTATTACATGTGACCTCCAAGATACAAACGAAGGCTCGTCGTACACAATTGAGCGATTAAAAGATCCTAAGATTCGTATGAAAGACCGTGTCACCAAGATGGAGTGAGCTTCGCTACTGCGTTTGTACTGATATGAAAGTGTGTTTTTGCAGAATCATTCCACAGATTTCCGAACTCGATGTGCTTGTCGCAATATTTCCGCATGAGGAAGTCAACAACCTAACTCATTATTACCAGGTTTGTCTAGTCATCCCCTTAAGCTGAGTCCTTTGTGTGCCAATCCTATTCAGATGCTAGGATTTGACGGATGTGTCAAGCTGCTTGTGGAGCTGGGAACTTATGTTGACTGGTCAGCCTCGGTGACTGAGGTATTCTTCTTTGTTTATTTGTATTCTGGCGCCATATTTGGATGTTATAGGGGGCTTTTGTGGAGGAGCTAGCGGCGGCGGAGATGAGTGGTACTTGCCCGCACGCACCGCCTCCTAGAACAGATTGGCAAAGGATTGCCGAACAAGAAGGCATGAACGGTGAGTTATTGCTGATTCATTAGTACACAATTTAGTGTCATCTTTCTGATGTGCAACCATATCATTTCATAATCATTGTTGTAACATTTTGCAAACTAGCGATACATTGCCTTTTCATTCTTCTTGCTGTAAAGTTTTAGTATAGACCAATGTAGTTTTGCTCCTGCAGAGTCAGTCAGTTGAAGCTGGTAAAAATATCACACCGTTCAAACATCCGACAAGCAACTTACCCCAGTCTGTTTGAATTATTTCGTTACTCTGGTAATTCTTTGTTGAATGCAAACTCGTGTAGTCACTTTTTTGCCTCGATAATTCCGGTTAGATATTCCGTACTACATGCCGAGGCTTTAGAATTCTTCTGTTTATTTTTGGAATCTGTCTGCTTTCGTATGACACTCTTGCGAGAAGAAATGCTATGTAATCCGCCAGGCGGCTGAATATTGCGTAATTGGGTTGCCCATGCTGTCAGGACGTGACAGATTATTTACACTGGTACTGCCGTTCGTCTGCATACGAGAATACTGTCACTGGTAATCACTGTGGGTCTTGTTGTTGAGATGTTCTCAGTATGAGCAGGCATTGCCACAAGTCCATTGTGAATCTGCTCATTCGATGGTCTTAGGTGACACACTTGCAAAGCGGTCGTGAAAGTCATTAACAACAAGAAGTGTAATATGCCAATATCTTCCTGCCGTTAATCTTCTCGTCTCCCGTTCGTTCTCCTTCTGCTGAGAATATCGGTCAAATCTTTTTTTTCAGAATCAATTTGCTTCAATATACCATGACTTTTTGAAAAATTAATTTTCACTTTGGTTTTTTACTACTATACTTCTTCCCTTTTTCTCCGTAGTACTTTCCTGTGGTCTAGAGAAAAAATCGGCTATGTCACCAGCACAGCCGGTACAGCTGGAAGCCCTGGCAGAGGCAAACTTTGTTTCTATCAAGTTTGGCACGGATGTATTGCAGAAAATGAGCGTAATTTTTGGTAAGGAATTTATCTACATATTTTAGGTGATTTGGAATTTATTTTGTAGGAGATGGATCGCCTGTTGAAGAGGAATGCAATGTGAGTGTACCGCTTTGGCTTTTGGAGCAGTTGTATTTGGTTTGGCAAGGAGGTTACTTAGTTTTTGCTTTTGGTTTCTGCTCAGTGTTCAAGTGTTCATTCCTTTCATAGGAAGAAGCAATTCTTCCTGCGCAAGCCGTTTATTACGGTTCTTGCATATTTTATGTTTAGACTATCGTCAAATGCTGCATGCGCATGACGCCCAGCTGGCATCAGTTTTGCAAGAGCACGAAAACGAGGAACCCAGCTTTACTACCGTGAAGGTTTGGTGTAGTCGCAAACAACTCTTGGAACGAACTTTTGCTATTAAGAAACAGATGACGGTCGCCCAAAAGCTAAACCTGAACGAGCTTATCAAGGACTTCCGTTGCGATGCTGAGTCCGTTCGAAGAATTTATGAAGACAATAAGTGAGTCCTTGCATTTTTTCGTCTGAGATCTCTACTTGAAACTTGAGATAAAATGGAATAGGTATGATGCTGCTGCAACACGCGTGACACTTCACTTGATGCTAAACCCTGACGATGAAATTGAGAACGTGGAAAAAATTCTTACGTCATCGCAGCGGACCAACCAGGTAAGCTCTTGTACTGAAAAGAGGAGAGGTTGAGAGACGCAGTAGTCGATGGAAAACATGCACCCATTTCTGCTCCCAGAAAATTTTTGATTGTAAAGTTAGAGGTTGTTTTTAAGGTTCCTCCTCCACCGTTAGTGCCACCTTGTGCACCTCGACCTGAAGCGAGTCTTTCGCTTGCTCAGCAGCAAGCGTTGCATTATCAGCGTCAAGCCAACGAATTTGCTGCGAAGCGAGAGAGCGAAACGCGAAAAGCACAGGGGTAATTTGTTGAGTTTCGTATCAGAACAAAACAGCTTGCCCAATGTTTTCAGGTACATCCGATCTGGTTTGCATCCAGCTGCACTTGTCTGCCAACAGAATGTAGGTTTTATTAATGATTCATAAAATTTTGGCGTTTCTTCCGTGGATAGTTGTTCACGCTACCTGTTTTATTTCAGGCTAGAGATCATGGAGAAAATGAAAGATTGCTTCGTAAAAAGGCAGCGGATATCATAGTCAAAGCCCATGAGAATTCGAGTTTCCTCGATCTTCATCTTCTCAATCAAAAGGATGCGTTGGCTTTGCTTCGAGAGCGGCTTGAACAGCTTGACCGTGAGTTTTTCACCCCTTGTGTTTATTTTCTATTTATGGATATCATGTTGATTTACCTAAAAAGTCAGACTATGTTTTCTCTTTAGGACATGAGTCCTTGAGAAACGGTAGGTCTGACAGACGTCTACGCGTCATCACTGGCTACGGTAAGAGCAACGGCGGAAGGGCTGTGATAAAGCCTGCTGTGGAATCGTACTTGAAGAGAAAGAATTACACGTGAGTATTGCGAGTTTTTATGTTGTTCAGTCGTGATCCTGTATATTTAGTTACTGCTTTTTGAATATGGGAGAAATTATGATTTACTGCAAATAGCGTTGGTGTTTCCCGGAGTGTTTCCGGGACCAGAAAAGAAGTAGACGTCTGGTGGCTTGGGCTCCAGAATCGAATCTGATCATTTTTATATATGTGTGTTACATCTGGCAGGCATAAAATGTGTCTCTGTTAATGCGTACAAAACCAAGAACTCTGTTTTTAGTCTATTCACCTCTGCATGTCCTGTATCTCTTTTTGTATCACTCCTTATCCATCTGACATTTTTTCGTTTTGATCCTTCTCGACTTTTTTCTTGAACTATTTTTGAATTATCATTAAGTGCCTTACATTCAGAGTCCTAGTATATTAATGCTATTGTTATTACTCACTTTGTAGAGTCAGTTTTGTTACTTGTACATATAAGATCTGTGTGTAAATTGTCCTTTTGCTCCACTATCAGTTTAATGTCGTCTAGATGAGTGTAGCTGGATTACCTCATTAGCGAAATGTCATGTTTTATTCCTACTTCTCTATTTTTCTGAAGATTCTCTGTTGAGTTATTGATACTCACTTAGAATAATCAAAATTCGATAGCTGTGTCTGTACCTCGCCTTACTTGCTATGACTCAGTGTTTTCTTGTTATTTTTGTTGGCAGCGATGTTGAAGAACTTAGTCATGTCATCGGCTATGATTGCTTTGATTTGCATAATGTGTGTTCAAAAATCAAAAGTCTTCATTCATTGCTGTCTTATTACCCATCTTTGTTTGATTCTGAGAGAGCAGTTGATTTTATTTCAAATGTTTGATGGATTTTGGGTGAGAGGAGATGAATATTTTGATCATCTGTTTCCTTTTTTTATGTAAAAATTGCTATTTTCGTGGATATCGGATCTATGTTGCTTTCTTGCATACCCCCTTAAACAGTCCATCAAATAGAACAGAGAAAGGAGAGGTATGAGTGAAATGCAATAACTCAGAGGGATGAAATGATTTTTCAGGGGGTGGGGTGATGGGGGAGAGGGCAAATGAGAGGTGTTGAGTAACCAATAAATTTTGTGGATTGTTCCCAAATTTTTTTTGGAATTTCTTGGGAGCTTGAAATCAAAGGGATGGGCAAATTTTGTAAAGTCAATAGATCTGATCTAAATATTCAGCAAACAGAGACAAGTTCCTGCAAATTACAGCAATTGATAAAACAATATTTGAGCAGATAATGTTGGCTTTGTTGCAGTCATGTTGATTTTTTTTTGGATGAAACAGAATGTCTGCAAAGTAACAGTGGGCATGAAAAGCTTGGAGTGGTGATTCTTCAGATTATCTGGAAGAAGACGTGTTCTTGGTCTGACATAAAATCTGACACTTTCCATCATCTGCTTTAGATGTCTATGATCTCACAGGAGACATGTAAGCTTTCTTCCTATTCTCACTTAGAAGGTCTTACGAAGAAGAAATGCACGAAATGTGGAAAAAATCGCATGTATTTTTGCTACGACTGTAGAGTGACCTTGCCGGGAGTGTTTTCACCACAAGTAAAGGTAGATGCTGTTTTAGCTAAGATGGTATAAATAAGCCTGTCTTTATAGTTACCCTGCAGTGTAGATATTATCAAGCATCCATCAGAGAAAAATAGCAAAAGTAGCGCTATTCACTGCAAAATTGTTGCTCCAGAACAGACTAGGGTGAGGTCGCTTTGACGGTATTCATGATTTAGAATTGATCTATTTATTTCAGATTTTTGATGTACCAGATGTATTCGATTATATTAGCGAAGAGCCGAGCAACGGTGAAGGCAGCAATGTAAGTTTTCTTTTTTATATTTCTAGTCTCTTTTGAGCTCTTTCTGGCTTAGGTGCTTGTTTTTCCATCCCCCTCAGCAGTATCCATTGAAGAATATGTCCGCACTAAGGGACCCATCAAGCGGTTCATTGTTCTGGATTGTACTTGGTTCCAAGTTAATATGATGCAAAAGATCCCGCAAATACAAGGTATCGCCCTATTCAGCCAAGTCATCTGTAGTATCTAATTTATTCATTTCAGGACTTCCATGTGTCTCACTGACCAAATATAGAACAGCTTTTTGGCGGCCTCAGCATAATGTCGACGAAAGCGGTTTAGCCACTATCGAAGCGATTTACTACGCTTTGAGAGAGTACCAAGAACATGGGCTTGGAAGGCCGTATCTAGGTTTGAACAGTCCTATCTTACTGTATGCTACCGTAATCTTAGTGCCGTCTTAGGTGAATTCGACGATCTACTTTACTGGTTCTTTCTCTCGCGGCGGTATGTGGACAAGAAGCAAGAAGATTACCGTAAGAGAAAGCGAATTCATGAGGATGAAGAAAGTGCTAAAACGAATCAAGTTGACTGCATATAAATCAAGATTATTACACTTATTGTTAAGTAGACTCGAATAGGCGATTTACTTATTGCTTTTCCATTTTCTAGATTATTGCGCTCAGGAACTTGTTGTTGTGACATTATGTTAATGTCTTTGTTGAGTTTGAGCCATTACGATTTATTTCCGCAATTCGAAGCCTTCCATTAATTTTTATCTGCATAATCAATGTTTTAGGAAACGAAGATGAATTGGGAAGATCTACCGATAAAAACAATTGAAACCTTGAGTGCTTATCGTATATATATATTCAATAAATATATTCAATACTAGCGACAAAGGACTCCTCTAAGCTTCATTACCGATAACTTAGACAAAGTAGGAAAAGCATTTTGGATATTCCTATGAAACATAGCTTTTTGTTGATTTAGTGGAAGAAAATCTGTTTAGGCGTGAAGTTTATATAACACTGAGTGATAAGTATTAACATTCCCAGTGAAGGACGAATATAAGTCAGGTAAAGCCAAGTTGGATAGACTCGGCCCAAATAGGAAATATTGGCGACGGGAGAAAGAAGAGCGAAGCTTGAATGCTCGGAATTCCTAGAAAGGCACCTTCTGTAGACTCTGGGAGGCGGTACAGTTAGCACATGAGAAGACTATATATCGTTGAAGGCATTGTCCACCCAGATTCTCAACTTCCATGTTTTAGTCGTTCCGGGGCCTTCTCATATCCCTGACTCTGAAAATGATGTCGAGAAATTTTCATGTCCCTATCTCGAGTACGAAACCGTGAATCCGCAAGAACTCCGGCGATCCCCGTTTCGGAAACCTGCAGGCCGGTTCTCCGCAACGGTGATTGGATGGGCGTGCGCGGATGGGCGGGCATCACTAAAGAAGGGCGGTACAGACTTGGGGCCCGCATGCCTCTTCGTTCTTCCCAATCGATTTTCCCGCTTCCGAAGCGACTTTGAGCCGCGACTTGGACATTGACTTGATATGGGGTCCCACTATCGTTAAATGTCAAAAGCTCAAGGCTCTCAACTCAAGGTGGACGGTGCCATTAAGGGTTTTACCATTTTGAGGGGCCATTGGGTTGCACTCAAAGAGGTTTTAATTGATAATTAAACTGCGAGGAAGCAGCAGATCACCGGAATTTTACTTTGATCAGCCGACTATTGAGGTTTTCCTGGAGATTTGGCCTACCCTACGCCCGCATTTTGTCGTCACCATCCCTCCTCCCTCATCGAACAACATATCTTGGATCTCCACTGTTACGTAAGTCATATAAATGCCTCCCCTCCTTTTCTCCGTTATTCAGTAAACATCCTGAGCGCTCATTAATGATTTGCTCCTCTGTGTATTCAGCAGAAGTGGTGAACTCAAAATTGAATGGCATGTTTACCATAAACAGACACTGATAAGATAGCGACTATGTGTATTGCTTGCAAGCTCGAACATGAACCAACTCTAGAGCCGAATCCTTTGACTTGCAAACTTTTTCAAAACGATATCTATTTAGTGCTGCCTGTTTTTACATTTGTGAAAACTCCTGCTAATCGTACTTGCAGGAGTTGTGAGGGCGACTCGCACGACCGTAATGCTTTCCGCAGAGGACCACCGTCGCGCGCGACACACCCTGCGGCGGCTTTTGCCTAAGCAAAACAAGGGGAGAGAAGATTGCGGCGTGCGTGACGCAGCGTAAACTGTAGGTAGAGGGCACACCAGAAAACGGAATTTTCAATCTACAACAAGCTGCTTTAAATCGCTTAAATTTTTAGGACTGCAGTGAATGCTGCAACGGTTTTGTGCAGCATTCAATAACTCAGTCATTCAAGAAAGTCTAAAAGGATTGTAAACGGATTAATTTGTGCTAATAAACCATAGCTAAAATGGGCTCGGCACAGCTGGCACCGGGTTAAGCTGCATATCGTTTTTGGGACAAAAAGCACAGGAAATATCGTTTTGTGGCCGAAAAGACACGAAATTGCGACGTTTTTTTAGTCGACGTTTCGTTTTTTTAGGGTATTTTACGTTTAGGGTTTAAGGTCGAGGGGGACTTTGTTTTGAAAATTTCTGGTGCGCTCGTGCCGAGCGCTGCTAAGATCCAACTGTGTAGCGTCTTGGTTCAGGTAATCTCACTTTTCTTGATGACCTACATAATGTATACGCTCTTCTTAACTGCGTGCAGGAAAGATGTCCATTTTACTGGTATAAAATCTGGAGTTAGAAAGAATCAGGAAAAGAAGCTGATTTTTTAGGCTAATTCGCTTTCTTTGAAAAAGAGTCATGGCGGTGGGCATGCCAAGTTTATCGTCCTCATGTGCATGTCTCAAATAAAGGAAATGGACGGATAAATGAATGCAAGAAGTCACATAGACAAAATCAAGCCATTTTTATGGAAAGTTATGCATACAATAAAAGAGACAAGAACAAAAAAAGTAAAGTTAAAAAAGTTAAAAACTTAAAGACATGAAACTATGCCGAACTTCAAGTAAGTAACGCATTGCTCTCGTTTGATCCCATATGATCGTACACCGCCATTATGAAAGGTGTTGGGATCTACATAGGTATAGGGCATTCGAAAAATCGTGACAATGGAACGACCGCGCGAGGAGCACGCACTTCCAGCAACCGCATCTAAGTTTTCATTTCTTTAATGGTTTTTCTGCTTACGTATGATAGTATCTAGACACTGGAGGTGACTGAGCTAAGCGTTAAAGTGATGCCTTTTGTATGAGTGTTTTAGGCTAATATGGGCGCAAAGGTTGCAATCAGATCCGTCGTCACTATTTTAAAAAAGGACCTATACAGTCAAGCCAATTACGTGCTCCCTTTCGCATGGGAAGTACGCAGGCGCAACGCAAGGGCCTTGCGTGCCCAGTCGATAAGGCCGGTTTGGTTGCCCGCTCCATACGCGCGCGAACGTGACGCAAAGGTCATTGCGCTTACGGAAAAGGGAGCGCGTGACTGACAGGACTGTACTTTTGGAATAGCTGCAACCAAAAGCTGTCATTCTCTATTCAACGCTAGACTGCAGTCCCGATTGTCGCGAGGAGATGCGTACGATACCAGCATAATTCGTCACAAAAGAGGCATCAAACTCCTGGAATTCACCAGAGTCCGCATCGCATTACCATATCTTGGTTCAGAGTGAACGAATTCTGATCCAAGGGCACCGTTTGATTCAGCTTGGCGAGGCGCATGTATGATGAGTGTTTTCGAGTACGATAGGCACACTGCAGGCGGTCATTTCACGAAGCTTTTCAAATTTTTGATGGTAGTTTTCTTACTATTCATTGCATACTGAGTAAGCTACTCGCAAACTAAAAACTAACAAGGTTCGTGAAATCTGACGCCTGCTGTATCCGAAAACTTGCACATATCAAATCAATGGTATAAATCAATGGTGCGCCTCGCCGATTGAATCTGAATCGAGCGGTGCCCTGGATATACAGTCTGCCCCAGTTCCAATCAGGCTAAAATTGGCATGGCGGGAGTCGTACGGCCTGCTTAGCTGGTTTTTCTTCGATCTCTTCACTTTCTCTGACGGTGCGCGTATCCAACACAAAGTATGTACAGTAAGTTTCGACCCGCTTTAGGAGGAAATTGGACTGGCGGGCGTCCGCCTCGCAACGGTTCGCGCCGTTTCGCAGATACAGTATATCATATCGCGCTGAAAACCCAAGAACTGAAGTCTGCGTCTCTTCATTCTCCTTGGTCTTTCCTTGGCAAAACGCCAGCGCCATGCGCTCGCGAAGCCTCCAGCGATGCGCACGCGCTGCTCGACGTAAAATGTTTTGTCTAATCCGGGGTGAAATCGACTGTAGTGGCGCTGCGTGCGCGCAAATCTAGCCAATGGTTCGGCCTTATCCCGATTGGGGCAGACTGTAGAATTCGTCCACTCTGACCCATGATATGACTAGAAGACGCGAATTTCGCTAAACTCCGTTTGAGTTCAGTGACATTTCTGGACAAATTATGGGTTAAAAATTACGAGTTATTGGACACTCAGGTGTTCAGATGGGATAAGGGAGGAGGTATAGAAATGATAGTAACATGGTAATGTGTAGAAAGTGATACAGTAATATGTTATCGAGCAGTGTAATAATCATGACTAGCTAAACAATGAAGAATTTGACACATTTGCATCACGTAATATTCGCACCAGCTAGTCAAGCACTAATTCTAAGAATATTGGCGTGCTTGAGAAATAGTTTTGCCAAATGCATAATGGTGACATAAGTTTTTTTCTGGTTCACTCAAGCCATCTACTTCCATGCATTGTACTAGGAGGTCCGAGTTATGCCCGTCTACAGTGATGCACTGCAAATAAGCTTATGGTTAGCAAACGGTGTAGGTAAAGATGCTGATAGAGTCAGCAAACTCACGTTTCCACATTTTTTTTTGAATTTTCCAAGGGCTCGAAGAGCTTTTTGTATCGAAGATGTTTCGCTCCTTACAATGCATACACACAACAATAGCAAGGCGAGAATTATTTTTTGCCGAATCATAGCTTTCTGCAATACAATATATACCGAGCCAGTTAAGATACACTAAAAGTTTGTAAAAGTTTGAGACTTTTCAGATTCTCAGATTAGGCGTTACTACCAAGAAATTGTGTTGCCGATATTTATGTGCAATTGATAATGTAAACTAACAAGATCATATGCTTCCCTTGAACAGGAAAAGATGGTTGTGTTCTGCTACTATTCCCCGACGCAAAATGCCCCTCGTCCCTTTTCTTCCATGACATTTATCATAATGGTACGTCCCTATGCCAAGATTCAAGTGGACATGTAAATGTATTATTCCCAATTCTCCCATATATTTTCAATCGAACGTTACGTTTCTGGAATTTGCAGAAAACTTTTAGAGCGCAGTAACTGCTAGTAAAGTTGTTTTCTTAAAAGACAAACAGTGTTGTATATACTGGTCCATTTTTCTAAAAACGTCTCTACAAGGGTTCCTCGCACAAATCACTCTTAGGGCCGCATGCATTATGTTGTAGAGTGATATTAGGCTGGTAGTAAATGAACC